AGTGACTACAGCGTTTTACATTCAATATAACATTGTTTTGGTTATAAAATTCTAGATTAAACATTTCTCTGACTTTGCAGTTGCTGTTTGCCATGGCTGATTCTTTGTAGTGGACCTTAGCCATGTTTATCCAGGACACAGCCCGACTAGTGCCTTCGGTCCTGTGTGCAGGAGGGGTGGGGGATGCGGCTGTAAATGAGGTGGAACTGGGAGTTTCTTGAACCTATTTCTGAGTGACCCACTTTGAGCGTTTTCAAGCCATGCTTCTCAGTCCCTGATGTTTTCCTTATTGGTGGCTCATCTGACCCTCATTCATTCATTCATTCATTCAGCATTTATTGAGTGCCTGTGGTGAGGTGGGCATTCATACTAGTCTCCAGGGATATGAACACGACGAAGACGGTCTAATCTCAAGTGGCTCCCAGTCTTAGGAGGAGACAGATACAGTCGTCCCTCGTCACTTGGCGCTTCGACTCTCGTGGCTTCACGCTATCGCGGCGATACAGTGAAGCTGCGAATGTCAAAGCGCCAAGTGGCAGGGACGACTGTGGATAAGTACAGAATCCTACTTCGCGGTAGAGTCTGGAACTGATTAACCGCGATAAACGAGGGCCGACTGTATGGATTTCAAAAGATGCTAACATTCTAGTAGATGAGCATTCTGTAGAAACACCAGGTGTGCCTGAGGGTCCACGGGGTGGGGAAGGCTTCCTTCCCTGGAGGCACTGCTTGGGAGAGGTCTAAAGCGTCACAGGGAATGTGTGGATGTGTGTGTGTGGGAGGGAGGGAGGCTGGGGACAGCACAGGAGTGCAGATACAGACCTGAGGAAGCCACAAGGTAGGACATAATGCCACCTTGCTGTGTTTTCCGCTTGTGTATATTGAACATCACTGACATGCTGGAAATTCTCTTTTGAAAGTAAATTAACTTTAAGTGGTGGCAGCTAGCTCTCCGGTGCAGCATTAGGATGGCGTTGGCAAGGCGCTCCAGCAGGTCCCGCTGCAGGAAGTGCTGTTCCTGGAGCCGCGCCATTGGTCTGCCGTCCGTTGTTGCTAGCAGTGTGGCCCTGGGTCCGAGTCGCTTCTGATAGATTGTTACTGCATCAGCCCCAAGCCCCACAGCCTGGGCCAGGTCCTCATTCCCGCCTGATGTCGGGAGCCAGGGAGTGTTTCTGTGCTCCATCTGACTGGAATTGAAGTATGTTCACGCGAGGCTCCCTGCGAAGGGGCTGCCAGTGGAGTCGCAGCGGGCGGGCGGCGAGTGAGGGCGCCGCTTCATGGGCTGCAGCTGTGACCGCGCGGCGCTCTGAGCCGAGAGCGCAGAGACGGCAGAGTCCTCTTCCAGAAGGCGTAAACATTGTGCTGCTTGCTGCCTCCTCCACTTTAAAATCATTGATTTCGCCTATTTACTGAAGTAACAGAAGTTAGACATTTTGGAGCCATTTCTAATTTTTCGGATTATTTGGGCCTGGATCTTATCTTTTCACCACTAACTACTTTTAAGTCATTCTGGGTTTGTTTGCTTGTTGTTATGTAAAAAAATGGCCATACTTCATGACAGCTCACTGTAACATATCTCCTGCAGAATTTTAAATTGAGAGATTCCAGTAGGTACCCTGCGGCTAGCTGTCTCTATTCGTGGAGATCAGGGTATCCGTAGTAACTCACCCGGCATCTGTCTGATGAACAGGGGTGTTGGCTCGCGGGGACGGAGGGGGGGGGAGCTCCGTCAGCTGGACGCTCTGCAGCCGGACTGCTGCCGCCTTGCTCCCTCTGCGCACGCGGCGCCCTGCCGGGCTCGGGGGTTTGCGCAGGTGGGCCGCGTTCTGTGTAACAGCATGCCAAGTCCTCAGCACTATCCTCAGCACTATTTCACTGTAGGCTTATGCTGATAAGTGCTTTACATGTGACACCAGTTAGTCCTTCCCCAGATTCAGTGAAGTGGACGCCGTTGGTCTCCCCATCTCACCGCTGAGGAAACTTAGGTGCTAAAGGGGTTGATTTACTGGCTGTGGGTTCGGGAACTAATAAGCGTAGTCAGGAGGTGGTTGCAGACCGCCTGAGCCCAGAATGTCACGTCGGGGCCTGTGCGTGCTGCGGATGTCTAACCCGGTTTGCTCGCAGCACAGAGCCCTCTCCACGTCCGCGGGCCGGACCGACCCCAGCCTTCCAGGCTGCAGGAGGACAGGTAGGCGCACTGCCAAGAGCATTTGAGACCCTCGAGGGCATCGAGGATGGGAAGGCACCTGCTTCTCTGGGAATTCAGGTGACTGGCTCCCCCCCACCTCTGCGGTGTGCCTCGTACCTGTCAGCCGGGGCTGGTGCTGCTCTGCGTCCGTGGGCACAGCGAGGTGGTCAGGTCTGTCTTGGCTGCAAGCCACAGGAGGGGCTGCTGCTCGGTGTGACGGGGTCTCAGCCTGAGCGCCGGTGCGTGTGGTTCCACAACTGGTGTCTTCTGTCTTTAATAATGTGTACGTGATTCTACTGGGGTGATTTGTCTTCACAATGATACAAATATTTGTGGGCAATAAAGATTTTCCCCACCATCTTTAGTCATCTTTTAGCCAAACTGAATAAACGTTTGTTTCCTTTCATCTTTCTTTATGATGCGGAAGATGCTTGGATGCAGTTGTCCTGTAGTGGCTTCTGTGGTTTCCTAGGTTCTGTGTTCTCTGCTGACATGATGCCTACATTTTCCGAGTGAAGGAGGGAGGAGGAGGAAGCTGAAACCCTGTTGATGCAGAGTGATGTGGTGGGGCATTTAATAGCCACAAAGATATACTGGCTAAGTCTAAGGGAATAGTGATCATCTGTCAGTGGAGTTTAATATGTGATCCTTTTGTATGTAAATATGTAAGACCCTTTGTGCCAAACTTCTAAAGCCTGTAACTTCTCGTGTTATTTTCCTTCTTATAAATTATCTTTGAATATTTGCAAATGAAGTGGTTTTTTTAAGTGGCTGTGATAGTTTTTGTGATTTTTTCCCCCCCATAAATTTTGGGTAACCCACAAATTTGCTAAATACAGTTCTTCTGTTGTGCAGATGTTTGGTTCTGAGCATTTGGTTACTGAGGAATATCTCATCGGAATTTGCTTGTTTGCGAAATTTAAGTTAGTGAACAGCAAGAATTCAACAAGATGTGTGAACATTTAAGTTCCACTAGTAAAGGACACCTGTATACCAGGGTTTTTCAGCCTTGGCAATATTGACATTTGAGACCAGACAGCATTTTTTTGTGGAGGACTGTCCTGGACTCTAAGATGCTTAGCAGCCCTGGCCTCCGCCAGCCAGATGCTATCGTGCATCTCCCTCCCCCAGCAGCTGTAACAACCACAGTCCCCAGGCCTCCGGTTACCCTGCGAGCAAGGGGACGGGGCTGTGGAGGCTGGTCCGCTGAGAAGCACTGCTGTATGCCATTGCACGGAGCTAAGTTTATAGACCCTGTGGGACTGGGAGGGATGCAAGGACTGTGACAGCCCACCTGCCACTCTTCATTTCACCAATTGCATGGACATTATTATTAAGGAAGAAAAATACAAACGAGAGAGGAAGAGATTGCCTTTAGAAATTAAGCACAAAAAGGTCATTAATTTTTTACATAAAAAGAGTGTCACATATCGAACCTTATATTGTACCATTTTCTTAGACTTGGGCATATACTGTCCCTTCCATTTGTTGTCCTCTGGAAATCACCAGCAGTGCTGATGGATAGGTTTTCTTAGCACCGGAGAAGCAGTGTCAGATCACCAGCTAGTTCTTCCTTATTGGTTACAATTAAACTTCAGCTAACCCTTCCTTTTGTTACTTTGAAGAGTTGAAATTTTCATCAAGGCAAGAATTTATCAGAGGATGTGCTTTAAGCAGCTCGCTGGATGGGGTTGCCTGTCACTCTGGCCTCTGCTGGTTTGGTCACTGGCCCTGGGAACCCACCGTTCCTCCAGCCAGCAGTGTGTGCAGCGTCCCTCCTCCCGCTCTCCTTCACCTTCCCTGGCGTGCTCACTATTCGTGCATGAGGGGCAGAGAGATACGCGCCTTCTATACGTTACGGTTCTCATTCCCTTTCTGTGAGCTTTTTACTTCTAAGGCACTTACCTGTATTATCGCTTTAATGTATTTCCACTCTTTTGTGAAGTTCACAGTGTCACCTGCATGCGTATTGAAAATAAGGGAATAGAATGGGAGGCCATTGACTTTTTTTAAACTTGTGACACCAATGTCCATTATAGTTCTATGAGTACAGAATTAGTCTGGCTACATGGCTGCACCTTCCAACAGCCTTGGTGTATTGCTGAGACTTTTAGATCTTTACACATTTTTTTAATGCATGCATGGCATTACCTTTCTGAAATATAAATATTCATTTCATTCTATATTTGAAAAGCATTATGTTACTAAATTTATAACTTAGATTTTATTTTCTAAACACATTTTTCTCAGTGGTGTAATTTTCAGTACTTTTATATTGTCAGTGCCCCATCCCAATTAAGTAGTCAATATGTGAACCTGATATATAGTCATTTTGACCAAAACTTTGCCTTCAAGATACTGTGCTGTTTTATGCTATTACTGGCATATTTTTTAGCACAGAAATAGTAATTATAAATAAAGTCTTTGTTGTTGTAGTACTGCTGTTTTGGAGACACTTAGTCACATTGAAATTTTCACTGGACCTTTCGTAGGATTAAGTTCGTGTGTCAAGAACTGCAGAGAGGCTCCCCCTCAGGGTAGCCCGACGAGCAGCAAGAGTTGTGATAAGGAAATGGGACCTTATGAAAGTATTTCTAGTGCAGCTATAATAGTTCAAATAAGAATTGAATTGAGAAGAAAGGAAAAGAGAATTCGTTGTTTTTCTTCTTTGCGTATTGGTGTTTTGGGTAAGGAGGGCAGCAAAAAGCTAAAAGAGCATTGTAATTTGCCTGTTTTTCCTTGCATTATGTAGAACTGTTTTAATCTGTCTTACACTCAGCATAATGGCATGTGATTCTTCTTCCCGTGACAGGAGGTGGAATAAACAGAGACTGCAGGACAAGGAGAAGCATCTGAAGCTTGAAGATGAATCTGAGGAAAGTGATGCCGAGTTTGACGAAGGTTTTAAAGTGCCGGGTTTTCTGTTCAAAAAGCTTTTTAAGTATGTGCCATGTGTTCTTCCCTTCATGCCTGTCATCAAGCCCTTGTGTGCAGATGAGCAGTTGAGGAATTCCACAGTAGTTACCTGTGGGCCCTTAGGGATTTGCAGCAATTTGTTGCAAATACAGATACTGTCAAATGAAATTTTAGCCACATGCTGTTCATTAAAATTAGATGATAATAAATTGACTAAAGTGCGCATTGGGTATGTTTATAAACTGATGAATCTATATGGACCCGTCTTAGCAGACTAAACGCAGCACATTTAGAAGCCGTCTACATTGAGTTATTTTTTTGTTCTTAGTTATTTTCAGGAACCAAACCTCTAATTTCTTGAATCAGATTAATTAACTAAGAAGAATTGTATATTAAAATCAATGTTGGGAAGGTTTTTTAGTTCTATGTGGAATAAAAAAGCTATTTAGATTATTTTCTGAGTGCCCTATATTATACCTAAGGGTGTAATACTTTTGAGCTGATCAAATGTGCATCTAAATATTTTATGTAGATGTTCTAATGTCAGAAAAGAAGATATAGGCACACACCTTCAGGATTAAGTTGCTATTTGAAACTGACTACGTTTCACGTGTGAAGTGCTCCCCACGTTACGAAACCGGCTGCTGTGTGATAGATGCCTGCCGACAGCCTGCACGGCCGGGCGAGCCGTGATGAATGTAGACACTGAGGCACATTCCCAGTCTCATCACTCTTGGGACTTACTTAACAAGGTACTTTAGGAAGGCTTCTTAGATGCACACAGGAAGTTAAACCATTGAATAGCTTCTCTCTCGTATCATGAGTTGTCGTTGGGTACAGGATGCAGACTTCTTTCTCTAGGGCAGTTCTGTTTCTTCTTCCTCAGAGTTCCTGTCAGCCATGCTTTAAGCTTTGGAGGATGTTTATTTAAAAATAGCATGCTTTTTATATTTCATCTCAAAGAGCTTTTATTTATCATTTAAATTTTTCTTGTAGTGTGGGGAAGAAAACAAGAACAGGGAGAGTTTTTTTATCCCACTAAACATATAGGAAAGCTGAATCCTAAAGATGCGAAGTGTCTGGATGGGGTTCCATACCTGGACAGAAGAACTGTAAATAAATTAACATCTGAATCTCTCCAGTAATTCTTGTAGATATTTTACTGCTTGGAGAGGTGGCTACTTTGTTTATTGCTTTTCCCAAATGAAAATTAACTGTGGAAAGGTAAATAAAGACATTTATTGGCAACTCTTTTCATCTTCTCTAAATCGACTGCTTAATTGAGTAACAGGCCAAGTATTATCAGTGTTGTGCTAGCAAAAGGAATACCCAAATTACAGATTAAATTGATTTATCAAAGACAGGATACTTCTGTATGTTTAGCGATTTGGCAAATATCCTCAAGATTCAAATTGAATGTACATTTTTTAAAATAAATTTGAGATTTTCTAGCAAAAGAAATTTCACAGTTAATACAACCAAACTTTGCTTACTAAGATTATATATGATTCAGTGTATGGACTGGTAATTTTATTGTAGTTAATGTAAGCACATTTGCTTGTTTTTTTAAAATTTATCTTAATTGCACATTTCTGGAAAGTTTTTGTCTTTCAGCTCTCAAAAACAGGATTTTAAATATTTCATAAATGTTTCTGTTCCTTTTCTTCTGTGATATGAAAAAAAGTAATAGGATTGATAGTCTCCCATTTTTCTTTTATGATTAAATTTTAGGTAGACCAATTTAATTTTAAACTGTAGATATATATTTTTACTGTATTTACTGCACTCTGTGGAATTAGATTAACAGGGTATTGTACACAAGGGAGTCAGAAGGTACAATTATCCATTTAAGTGCTATTTTCTGCAAGATCGTGTTTAACTTTCAAAATTCTGTTTTGAAAGTTTGCCCAGCAAATGCATTCATCTGTATAATTTAGCAATCGAATGACAAACTACTCTTTTGACCTTACTTTTAGCTACACTAGTAAATGCAATCTTGGGTTAGTATGATAGTGCCAAAATATACCAATTATCTGTGGTTATTTTTTTAATGTTTTATTCTCATGGGAGAAGCAGAGTATAATAATTTCTTTACTATTATACAATAGTTTGTAAATCTTTAACTTTCCCTAATGACCTCCAATGGCAGCCTGAGACCGTGGATAGTACCAAACTTCTCTGTGCAGATCTGAGCTGCCAGCATCACTTCTCTTGTGCTTAGGGGCCATTATGCAGTAGAATACGGGCTACTTGAACACAAGCACTGTGATATCTCAACAGTGGGTGTGATAACTGAGAGAGCACTAAGTGGTTAATGGGCAGGGAGCGTGTACAGCGTGGATCCGCTGGACAGAGGAGTGATTTATGTCTTGGGCAGGACAGAGTGGGAACATTCAAGATGTCATTATGCTGTCCAGAATGGTTGCAGATTTAAAACTTATGAATTGTTTATTTCTGGAATTACTCCTTTAATATTTTTGGACTGTAATTGACTGCAAGTAATTGAAACTGCAGAAAGCGAAACAATGAATGAGGAGTTAGAACTGTACATCGGTTTTCTGGAGAGTTTTTTGAATACATCTTTTTCCAAGCCTCGGATTAGTATATTAGAGCCAGTTCACAACCAGTGTTTATTCTAGATCTGAGCAGAATAATTCAAAATATTCTTGTTGTAGGGACTATTCCTTTGCATTGTTGAATGTTGACTTCTACCACTAGATAGCAGTGGTAGTTGTACCAATCAAAAATGTCTCTGCAGTGTCAGATGTCCCCTAGGGAGCCGAATACCCTTCCTTGAGAACCACTCGGCAGGGTTATTGCTACAGTGGAGTCGGAGGTTCTGGATTCTAGTTCTGCCTTGCTCATTTTTCCTAACAGTGTGACCTTTGGCAAGTTACTTAACCTCTCTGTGCCTTCATTTTCTAACTATGACGTGGGCTGCCATCTCCCTGCAGGGTGGCTTTGAGGCAATACCCCCACCACCTGGCCTGCTGCCCCCCTGGCAGTAGGCTCTGCGCTCCCAAGTCGGTGCCGTTATTCTCTGATTGCACACCACGCTCTAGTAGAGCTTGTCCTTCTTCCCAAATTGAATGATCTTTTATTCATGCTGCACTTTTTATGTTTTGATTTTCAATCCTTTTTTTCCAGGGTGTATAGTCAAAGTGTGTATTATAACTAGCAAACTTAGTAAGCAGCAAAATCCTCATTCAGAGTTTTTCTTATATGATAGATAATAATGGGAACAGCTGGAGTCAAATTTTTGAAATTGATTTGCAAAATATTAGGGGAAAGTTAACTGTGACATAATTACTGAGAATAAGATTAAGTAAAACTAGTTCAACAAGGACTGTGTTCATAATGAGATTTTAGGTAGACATACCATGTAGCAAACAAATACATAGTAAACATTTGGACAGTAAAACAACAAATCATTTTCTTTTAAGGTGGGAGGCTCATTAGTCTTGGTATTTTTCTTGGAGAGAAAAAAATCCTTTGGATTTCATTGTCATTTAACTTCGGTGTTTTTTGCTTCAGATTTTTTTAACTTGGCATATAATCTTTATACTGTTCCATAATGTTAAATCTTTGTTTCACTCTCAAAAATTCTTTTTGCATTATTCCTTTTAAACTTCATTTTTTAGATTAGAAATTTAGTAAACATATCGTTGGGAAAGGAAGATACAAACCTTTCCACCGTTATTGTGGTGGGGGCTGTGTTATTCTCTTTGACCTATACTCCTTACTTCCAGTTTTTAGAGCTTAAATGTTTCTGTATCTGTGAACAAGTCCCTGCGCCAGGTTCTGCTTTAAAATATTAAAAAGCTTTTTTATACTGTTGACTTTTGAAACAACTTCTTCATCTGCTACTAATGTGACAGAGTCATCCCTTATGTATTAATTTTGTGAGGAGCCCTATTATTCAGACTTGTTTATGGCCTTAAAATTGAATTTAATTTTTCTTATAAAAAGGTAATGTGATTATGAAGTGACTTTTCAACAACATATACTATAAATTGGTCTTTTCTGCCCTGCGTTTTGATGCTGTTCATACATTTTTTTAATAGAAAAATTATTGGAACTTAACAAACTAAAAATATTTGAGATTTTTTCCAGAAAGATACTGAATAAAAGGTAATAGGTTTATGCTTATTTACCAAGCTATTTTTAATGTTGTAAAAGAAATAAAATAGTCCCTAATTACCCCATCTATCAGTTTAATTAGAAATGTGTTAACGTTCTGTAAAGAAAAATTTGTGATATTATTCCTAGGTAATCAAAAATGTATGACCTTATAAATATAATGCTCGTGTAAAACACACATCCGGCATGTTTCTCTGACTGGTACTAGAACTTAGCGAAATGATTAATTCATGAGTACTTTCTGTTATGATCTGTTTTATCCACCATTTGCCATTTTCTTTTTCTTGTTGGTGTTTGTTGTTGTAGGTACCAGCAGACAGGTGTTAGGTGGCTGTGGGAATTGCACTGCCAGCAGGCAGGAGGAATTCTGGGAGATGAAATGGGATTGGGCAAGACCATCCAGATAATTGCCTTCTTGGCAGGTCTGAGCTACAGCAAGATCAGAACTCGTGGTTCAAATTACAGGCAAGTGCTCCTCTGCAGACTGTCAGTCTGTGGAGCTCAATTAATATTTTATCAGATGTATTGCTGTGGAGGAGGGTCTTGTGAATTATTGATGACATTTCAATTACAATATTCCTTTAATTCTTTTAGTGGGGGACATCAAAGGAAAATTTTTACGAGACAATGGAGCTGTAGGGCAGGAGAAATTAAACATGTAACACTTTTAATGAATTCCAGGCATTGAGGCTTCATTTTGCAGATGAGCCCCACTAGATGTTCGGGTCAATACAGTTGTCTAAGGTTAGCTTCTACAAATGGATTGTTTACAAACTCAATTATGTTAATATCAATAGTTTACACGATATGGAATTTTAAATGAGACATAATACTTTTAGTTCCATTTATTAAATTTTATATTAAAATATTTGTTTTGGCAGGAGCCCAGGTGAGCATTACAGTAAGTGCAAAGTCTGCTCGTGGGGCAAGCTGGAGCTTTGGAGAAGCATTCTCCCAAATCCCTTTTATAACTGTTATGCACGAGGGCGCTTATAGGCTGTGACTTTCAAATGAAGTGACTTGTCTGCTCACTGTGCTTTCTACCCCCCTCCAAGTCTCGAAGGATTTTATATACATTCTAAGGCCAAAGCCTAAGTGGTGGACTCTCTGAAATGCTAAAATGATAGAAAACTATGTTTAGCTTTTAGTTTTTATTCTCTCTAGGAATTTAAATAAACTATTAAAGCTTTAGTATTTCTGAAAGAATAAGCACTTTAAACTGTTAGTTTTGTATGGTAGGACTGAAATACTTTATCTTAAAATCAGTGCAGTGACTGTTTCCATATTTAAGCTGTAAATTTGCTTTATGTAATCCAGTATTGGTAAGAATAATGCTAGGTAAATTATGTGGGTTATTTAATCTTGAACCCAGTTAATCTGAGAGCTTTTTAGATTTCAGTAGGTTTGTCCAAGGAGTAAATGTGAAGTAGTCACTGGGCGGTTATGTTGTGGAGCCCTAAGCACGCTCTGCACATGCTTTGGAGGCACCGCCGAGACGGCCGCAGCGTGCCTGAACCAGCGGCCGCCGGGAGCCCCGAGCTGCGCAGCCGGTCTGGGCAGACAGGTGTTTCGTAGAGAGCAAATGCACACTGTGGACTGCTGAGTGAGGACTGGACTTTTAATCTCCGTTTAGTGCTTCGTTTGTGTCCTGTACTCTCTCATTGATTCAGCAGATCAGCACTTCTCATGAGGAGTGTTAGAAGTTTTAGAATGTTTTAGAAATATATAAATGTGGGAAAGGGAATAAACATTTGGAAATTTTAAAATACTGAATATTTTGTTGTTATTACAAGGAAGTTGCATTGAAGCAGATGTTTTTTTTCAGATATTAGAATTCTGTTACATTTTGTCTGCAAACGAGTGAAGACAGCTGGGTGGCAAGGGGGTCAGAGTGGAAAATGCGCAGCTAATGTTTTCTGTGGTTGCCATTCAGTTAGCATTTGTGAGAATGCTTTCTCTGTTCTGAATGACCTTTTAGGTGGGCTGGGCTCTGTAACTCTCCTTGGGTGTTTTGCTTGTTTGGTTTTGTTTTGTTTTGTTTTGGATAACTAGAATGCCCTGAGCTACCCCAGATGTTTTCTAGGACTGTCTTTCCTTCCTTGAATGATTTCTGGGGTTTTCTTGTTTCCCATGCCTTTTCTTCGCTTCCTTTCCTGTTCTCGTGAAACGGTACAATCTGGTACTCTGGGCCCAGGAAACCTCAAGTCATCCCTGCAGTGGAGTTTTGATCTAAAACTTAAAACATGCTCTCTCGAGTAGTGACTTTACTAGGAGTAAAGTCAGGGCTAATAATGAGAACAGCTGTCATCAGTTCGCTCTCGATGCTCGAATCCTCTTTTCCATAATGAAGTAGTGTGCGCGTCGGACCGCAGCTCCGGTCGCCTTCACTGACATCGTGTTGGTCCCGCGGCTTCCCAGACTGTGGTGCTGTATCCTCAGCACAACTGGGCTCCGCAATAGGGTGCACCGGGCCCACCTCGTGCCAGCGCGAGCTGTGCGCCAGCTGTGCGCCCGTCCTCCCTGCTGCGTCCTGAAGGAAGGGCAGCGAGCAGCGGGGGCAGGTCGGGTGCAGCGAGCTGCGAGGTGCTGGAGCGGCCCTTGTCTCCTTGCTGCGCGAGTTTCCCCTGAACGGCTACAAGCCGCGCCTTTGGGGCTGCGACCCGAGATGATCTCTCTGAGTTTGCAAGGCCCATGGTCATTGAAAGTGTGAATCTGGGCTACCAAGAAGAGACTGTGGTAAAGGAAGGGTTTTTGTTGTTTTTTAACGTGTTTTGTATGTCTATTTGTTTTTAAGAAGGAGAAGCATATTGCATGTGCTTAATAAAAGCCTGTGTTGGCTGCAGTGTTCCCAGTTCATAATGTACATACTGTCTTATTTTCACTTGGCCATTCATATGATGCTAGACACCCCTCAGATGTGACAGAGAGGAAATAAAGTATTTATCTTTCAAACCTCAATTAATAGCTTAAAGTTTTGTATATCATTTAGTAAATTTCTAATGACAAATAAATGGCCTAAAAAAGTTAATAAACTTTCAAAGGCAAATATTTTACTTTGTAATTTCTGGTAAGTTCTAGCAGATTTCCATCCTGCGGGTTGAAATACTCGACGCTGGCACTATTGGCTTGTCCTACATTTGTTAGGTGATCGATGGTAAAGATGAAAGGAAGTGTAGCAGCTTGGTAATTGATGCTGATCACGCTGGTACATTCAGCTAGTTCTAATGGTTACCTCACCAGTACTGAGGCTGCCAAGGTGGTTCAGAGATGTGACTGAATGGATTGGGGTGCCTGTCTGTGGCTCGGGAACAAGTAGGTATTATTGCTCCTAGACGTCCACTTGGCCTAAAAACTTCCACGTCCTTCTGATAAAGGGAGAATGGCAGGAATTAAAGGGCGTAATAATGCCAGATAGATGGTAAGCCAGAATAAAACATTGGCTTTAAGTGACAAAATGTGAGTCAATATTGTAGCACTTTGCAGAAAGAGAAAAAATTATGAAGAACCTTAAAAAAGTATATTGTGTGTTTATGCTTAATAGAAAGTGAGTTTGTTTTTAACTATTTTTGACAGGTTTTGATTGGTTGTTTCCTAATCCCTGCTAAGTACACATTGATGATAACTTCTCTGATCTCCTTGGAGGATGTAAGCTGGTGCACTGAAGGCTTTTAGGAAGGACTGTTGTTGGAAGGGCCCAGGGCCCAGTCACACTCTCCCGGGGAGCCTGCACGGAACCCGTCTTGGTGAGAAGCCGAGAAATTTGGGGGAACTCTGCAGGAAGGGTCGGGGTCTGCTGCAGCCTGTGGCTTCTGTAGCCCCACCCTTCGTGGAGCAGAGGACCAGGCAGTGACGAGCTGGAGGCCGGAGGGCTGTGGAGGCAGGGGGACACCGCCCCGCTGGAGGGTGAGAGTGAGCCTTGTTTAGTTAGGGCTGGTTTTCTGTAGCCCCACCCTTCGTGGAGCAGAGGACCAGGCAGTGACGAGCTGGAGGCTGGAGGGCCGTGGAGGCAGGGGGACACCGCCCCGCTGGAGGGTGAGAGTGAGCCTTGTTTAGTTAGGGCTGGTTTTCTGTAGCCCCACCCTTCGTGGAGCAGAGGACCAGGCAGTGACGAGCTGGAGGCTGGAGGGCCGTGGAGGCAGGGGGACACTGCCCTGCTGGAGGGTGGGAGTGAGCCTTGTTTAGTTAGGCTGGTTTTCTGTAGAACTACAGGTATTTTTTAGTTTTGCAGAAGATTGTTTTTAATATTTCAAGCACTGTGTGACTTACTCTAATTTATATCTTTTTTTAAGTTTGGGTATCATTTACTGAACTGTAGCAAGAAAATAAAAATCACCCAGGATCTTCCAACCCAGAAATGATTTCTTTTAACATTTCAATATATTTTCTTCCAGCCTTTGAAAAATGTTTTCATTTAGTAAAGCCCGTGTTCATGAATCACCTCCTGTGATGCCGGCACTGAGACCACTTGAAGGCAGGTGCTCTGCCGTCCAGCGGCAGGCACACGAGGGAGGGCGGGTGACGGCCGCGCAGGGTCGCAGCCGTGTGGCCGCACCGCGGAGGGGTCCTGAGCCGAAGGGACGGGGAGATGCCCTGGAAGAAGCCTGGGTCTGAAGGACGGAGAGACAGAGGCTAGATGAAAGGGCGGGAAGGGACAGCAGGGGGTGAGAGGCCGGGCGTGCTCCCTGCGGACCCGAGCCAGCTGGCGGGCGGAGTCCTGCCTCTGCGTGCTGGGCGGGGCAGGGCCAGGTGAGGCGGCGAGCTGGGCCTGCTCAGATCCTGTGGTCTCCTAGGCCCGAGAGGTGGCGAGACTGCCCCCAGAACAACAGGCAAGCATTAGAAGGCTTTTTTAAGCAAAGGGTCGAAGCATTCAGAGTTTGCTTTTTCAGAATGATCATGCCAGTACTCAGTAGGAGTTGATAGTGGCCAGGACTGAGTATCAGTAGTGTAGATGGAGAGACAGGTTGGCTTTGAGAGGGATTTGGGAGCCAGATGCGACGTGAACTCTGTAGGCTCGATGTGGTGGAGAACAGGAGGCCCGACCAAGGAGGAGGCTGGGTTTCTTGGGTGGGCACCCGGAGGACATGTGGCGGTCGTTTCCTGTGGACCAGGCGTGGGGAGGATGCTGTGGGGCCTCTGCGTGGAGACACAGCTCAGTTAGACATCTGAGCACGCAGTACTTCGACGTTCAGGGAGATCCGGGCTGCAGTCCTGGATTTGGCGGTGTCAGTGCAGAGGGAACAGTGAGACTCAGAAAGAGTGAGATCACATGGGGAAGATGTGCAGCGTGTGTCTAACTTGAGATCGTTGACACCATGTTGGGCAGAAACGTGGATGGGGAGAAGGACAGTTTGAAAACTGCTGGGACTGCTCCAGAATAAGGGGGAGGTAGGCTGTGGGGCTGGGCAGAGTCCTCAGACAGCATGAGCCGCGTGAATCTAGAGCTAAGAGATCCCTGCAGCACGACTTGCTTAATACTCACTTAAGCACTTGCTGTACCCAGCTCCCTGCAGGACTGCAGACTGGGCAGCCACAGCATTGGGAGTGTGCTGTGGTGGCACATGGGCTCACAGCCAGGCAGAGGACTGGACTCAGACCCAGAGAGGGGACACCGTTCCAATGTAACAGGGCGAGAGGACAGGATGGTGTAGACTCAGTCAGGTACCTGTGGTGTACAGGCATCAGGACATTTTGACTGTAAGTAAATAAAACTTGGTCTCAGATTGAGTTGAATTCATGGTGTGTGTCTAGACCTAGAAACCTATGGGAGTGGGCTGCAGTGAAGCCTGATCAGTAGGTCAGGGAAGTCGTCAGGGACCCGGCACTCACATCTTCTCCCGAGGCCAGTTCTCCTCGTGGGCACAAGATCTTGCCTGGTAGCCGACCTGCCCCGTGGCCATTGGGCCGTCTCCTTGTGCAGTGCAGCAGGAGACTGTGCGCGAGACCTGCCCCGTGGCCATTGGGCCGTCTCCTTGTGCAGTGCAGCAGGAGACTGTGCGCGAGACCTGCCCCGTGGCCATTGGGCCGTCTCCTTGTGCAGTGCAGCAGGAGACTGTGCCCGAGACCTGCCCCGTGGCCGTTGGGCCGTCTCCTTGTGCAGTGCAGCAGGAGACTGTGCCCGAGACGGTGCCGCAGCTCCTTGTCCACGGGGTGTATTCCAAGTCCCCCAGTGTACATGTGAACCTGGAATAGCACCCAACCCATATATGCTGTTTTTCCTATGCACACATACCTATGATAACGTTTAATGTATAAATTAGGTACAGTAAGCAATTAACAACTAATAACATAGAATAATTGTAGCAGCATACTGGAATAACAGTTGTGTGCAGGTGGCCCCTCACTCAGAATGTTGTACTGTTCCTTTCTCTCGTGATGATGTGGGACACACCGTGTGTACGTGATGAGGTGGAATGAGGTGAGTGGCATAGGCGTTGTGACACAGCGTGAGGCTACTGTCAGGGTTACGGGGACACGAGTTGCGGTGCCACGACCATCGCTCTGGTAACCCAGGCTGCTGCTAGGTGACCAGTGGTGGGGAGTGTAGACAGCGCGATACACTTGACAGGGACGATGCTTAGATGAAGCTGGACTGTCTGGTTTATTACATTACTCAGAACAGGGTGCAATTTTAAAATGATGAATTGTTTATTTCTGGAATTTTCCATTTAATACTTTGGACTGAGTGTGGAAAGTGAAACTGCAGCTGAGGGGGACTTGTCAGCCCTTCTCTGCACAGGTGCGGAGTCTCCCCAGGCCCCTTCGAGACTGCGAGCCTGCGGGGATGGAGCGCGGGCAGCCTGTGGGGCCTGGTCCTGCCTCTCCCCTCTTCAGGTAGCCGGGCAGCGGGGGTGCGTTCCTGGCAGAGCTGGACAAGGGCGTGTTGGCACAGTGGTCGTGGCCAGTCTCTCGGCTTCCTGGGTGCAAGTGGATCGGGGTGATTCCATAAATAAATTTTTGTTGTTAATCTTCACCTGAGGATATTTTTTTCATTGATTTTTAGTGAGAGTGGAAGGGAGGGAGACAGAGAGAGAGAGAGAGAGAGAGAGAGACATCGATTGGTTGCCTCCCACATGCAGGATGAACCTGCAACCCAGGTATGTGCCCTTGACCAGAAATGGAAACCATGACCCTTTGGTGCACAGGCTGATGCTCTAACCACGGAGCCACATCGGCCAGGGCTAATTTTGTTTTTTAAGACTTATTCTGAGCCTCTTTCCAGGTTTTTAAATATTCTTCAAAAAAATATTAATGGTTACTTGATATTTCATCTTACTTAGCAAGCACTTATAGTATTTATTGTATGGTACTATAGGAAGCACTTTACAGATATTGACAGATTTAATCTTTATATGACCCTATATAACCAGTACTATTACTATTTCTACTTTAGGATGAGAAACTGAGGTTCAGAGACATTAACTAACGTGCCCGAGATCACAGAGCTGGTGTGTATGAGCTGGGGTTCAGACCAGGCAGCTCCTAACCACGGGCATGTGCCGTATGAAGGGCTGGTGTGGTTCATTCAGCCCTTCTCTCCTCTGTGTGTGTTTAAGTAGAAACAGGAAGTAAGCAGGAGAAACAGGCCCAGTTTCTGCAGCGTGAGGGATGCGGCAGTGCGGGCGGAGGGACGTTTAGGAGAGCAGGCTGCTGCCCTCAGGACACTCTTGTCTGGGCATCACTGTCCCCTGGTTGTCATGTCGCCTGCACACGTGCGTCCCAGCCTCCGACCGGAGCATTCCTTCCCGCCTGTTTCCCAGGGCCCTGAGCGTGGCTGGGATTCTGTGGGTGACAGTAAGGGCCGAACACATGGACGGTGCTCATGTTCACTCAGAGATACTTTGCAGAATACCGTCACTAATCTGCAATAGAGGAGGAGAGAAAAGTATTTTTATTACATAATTTTTGTTTGATTTTCGTTTACTTCAGATGTTATCTTTTAATATCCTAGCTGGTGTTTTCTCGTAAACCTTGCATTCAATTGAATGGAACTGTAGAGATTTCACTTACTGGTTTTAACCTCAATAGCTTTTTCTTTAGAGAAAATAGCAATAAATTTCGTTAGAATTTTCTTTTTTGAACTGTTAAGTTTTATTGTTTTGTTTTTTTTTAAATTTTGTGGCAGTTGATTATGTGCTGTCATTTATGGTTGTATTTTCTTCTTGGACATTTTCGGTGCAGGTTTGAGGGGTTGGGTCCGACCATCATTGTCTGCCCAACGACAGTGATGCATCAGTGGGTGAAGGAATTTCACACGTGGTGGCCTCCATTCAGAGTGGCGATTCTACACGAAACTGGCTCCTGTGCCCACAGAAAGGTAACGTCTTCCAGCCTTTGTGTTCGTTTCTTCTTAAAGCCCTTCATTTTTCATACTTCTTTTTCTTTGATCTGTGTATATCTCAGATGTATGTTTCCCTTCATGCAGTTAAACTGTTACTGATTTGATTTAGAGCTCTGTATTTTGAAAACAATCATGTATGTAGGCTTAGTGTTCTAGTTCCTAGTGGTGCTGAGACATGTTTGCTGCCATGGAGGCGGCGGGGCGGCACTCAGCCGAGCACACTGGGGGCTGCGTCGGCCCCGGAGCACCCTCTGGCGGGTGGGGGCATTAGCAGCCTCTGGCAGTTTAGGAAGATGAGTACAAAATGTCATTTTTACTTTTAATTGGTAAATGCATTTGTTAATATGCTTTTAAAACATGTTTTTAACTAACAAAAGAACAACCTGCCGTTTTGAGAATTTTACAGTTTGCATTGTTGCTTTTTAATTAAGTTGTTTTTTGTTCTCTGAATCCTTGATCATCATATAACTCTAATCACTGTATTTTGGTAGTATTTCCTCACTTATTCAGAGTTTTAGCCACATCATCTAAAAGGAGGTTTATGTGTGCTCCTATGGGTGTATAGGTATGTTGTGTTCTGTTGTTGTTGAATCATCACCTGAGGATATTTTTAAATTTTTGTTGTTGTTGTTGTTAGGGAGAACGGGGGAGAGAGAGAGAGAGAGAGAAAGAGACTGATGTGAGAGAGATATATCAATGCACCCCAACCAGAGCTGAGGATAGAACATGCAACCCAAGTATGTGCCCTTGACCAGGAATAGAACCCATGACCCTTCAGTGCGAGGGCCGATGCTCTGACCATTGAGCAATGCAGCCAGGCCTGTGTTATGCCTTTTTTATCCTCATCTGTCTCACCATCTAGACTGTAAGCTCTGTAGAAGAGGGACTGTGTGTTCCTCGTTTTGTATCCCAAGTGCTCTATGAGCATTTGCTGAATAATCACATATTTTCACTGTTGGGTTTGCAGGTTGTTTTATTGACAAGAAGGGGCCGTTTATTTAGTTCTTTCTTTCCTGAGCCTTTGGAGCTCTTGAGTGAGCTCCTTGTGCCCCATGGACCAGCTGGTGACTGTTGGCCTTGCTGAGCAAGCCCCGGACCCCAGTGTCTGTTGTTTCCCAGTCCTCTGGTCTTCCCAATTCCCATCTTGTTTGTGATTATGAATGAGCAGAACTTTGGGTAGAAGTGGATCAGTAACGTCCCTGGTTTGGTAGCTCAGGTTCGATGAGATGGAATCTTGCTTACACTAGCTTTTATTAAAATCAACTGACTTTGCTTTGAATTTTAAATGATAAATTGAAAACAAACTGAGTTACAATATAACACTGTGATAAAAAAAAAAGCGATTTTTAGCAGCATGGAAATACCAGTTTAGATTGTTTTTCTAGTCAAAATAAATCGTAACCTTCCTGTCATCGCTCTTGTAATCATTTTTGTTCCTTTTTTCACTTTCATTGTCTTTTGATATCTCAGTGTTTTGTATCGCAAAATTCTGTGCAAGGATTCATTAGTTGATACTCATCTTTAAAAGGCAGTTTTTTTAATCTATTCATCTTTATGCTTTTCTTTGGGCTAGTAAAGTGCATGTATTTCACACCTTCACCAGGATCATGTCTCACCTGCATTTCCTCGGAGTTATAACCTGGAGAACCACCTTCATGTAGGCGAAATGCATGGACTCATGAGTGGAAGTAGAATGGACATTGGTCAGTGTTTCTTGGTAATGCTTCCTTCCTTCACTTGTTCAGAGGGCGAAACCTTGCGAAGAGACATTTCCCTCTGTCCACAGCGGTCCCACCTCCGAGGCTGTTTGCACACACAGACACGCATACGTACGCTTGTTCACAACTTTTTCAGTGCTTTACTGCTCACCAAGGACTTTAACTTGAAGTTTCTTACTTGTTTTTGAGGAAAAACAGTAGACTTGTATTTTTACTCTGACCCTTAACTCTTTCTCCTATTCCTTTCTATTGCAAAATAGCTCAGATCTCTAAAGATGTAATCTGTCAAGTGAAAGATCAAAATGATGTTTTCTTGCATCTTTTGAATCATGCTCTCGACTTAGAAACACAGTTTATTATTTATTATGAATGCTAATATTTTGCTATTTGTGATGATGACACATCAAAAATGTGTTAATTCCTGGCCCAGGCCTTGTTAGTAACACTTCCAAGATCAGAACTCTGGCTTCTGGACTCCAGCATCCAGGTGGTCTTCGATCCCTCTGCTCTATCCTTTACACGAGTGTGCACAGATCTTTGCCGCCCTGTGCATACCTGTTGGCTTATAGGTATGTTCAATTCAATAGAGTTCGTTTATTAATAATATTTCAAATACTTTGTTAATGCCTGTCTGGCTTCTAACCCGGCATCTATTGTCTGACCTCCTTTTCCTCCATTTGGCTAAGATCCCTCTTCTCCACGGGGGAGCGCTTTCTGCCCCAGCTGCCCTGTCTGCATGTAGCCGTGTGCTCTCTGGCAGAGGGGCGGGCATTCGGTGCTGGGAGAGTAGGGGAGAGAAGAGAATTTCTCTTTAAAAGTACTTGGAAGAGTGATGATGCCAGAGTTATTCTGTTTATAATTCAAACAGATTATCTTTATTTTTGCAATGGTTTGTTGTAGTTGGTATGACATAAAATTTTGAAATTTTTGCATTTAGAGAACATATTAAATAAATAATTCTAAATGGGGTGCATTTATTCTTCTTCTTCCCTAAATAGCCTTTTAGCTTCCTACCTCTCTCACCATTTTATCTTATATTATCTTTGCTAATATTATCTTTGACAGCATAATTGAGAATTATCAAATAAACACCCAGCAACCATGCAAAAAAAAATATGTGGTTAATATTTTCAATCAAACGATTCAACCAGATAAAGACATTTTTAGTCTTTTGAATCTCCTTCAGTGATCAGTTGAAATCTACTTAATAGGAATCAAAGATTTTCCCTTTCTCATTATGTTTTGTGATCATTTTTTTCTAACATAGAGAAACTTAATATGTAAGTCAATTAGTATTTATTTGTTGAATAATTATAAACATGATGTCCAGGTTTTTGATGCTGTTAGGGCTCCCAAAAATGGGTAGGTTGTTTTTAATTGACCTTGAAAAGCTAACCATTTTGTTGGGGTAGGAAATACCTGAAAAGATAACAGAAGGCAGTTTTGTGATACTTAGGCCGTAACTCACAGTGGGTGAGTGACACAGCATCTTGAACTCTGCTGTCAAGTGTATTTACTTATCGAGGACCCTTTCTTCAGTTTGTTGGAAGGTGTGTAATGAGAAGTTCCTTGCCTGTGTTCTGAAGCAGTTGTCGCTTTCCGTGTGTCCCAGCTTATTCTTCTGTGTGGGATATAGTAATTCTGGGGAACGCTTTAGACAGTTCAGGGCTTTGTCTCATTTTGATCATTTCATGGCAGTTAGACGCTTAAGAGTGAGACATACAGTGGCGGAAAGGTGTAAAGCGTAGATTTGTGATGACTGGACCAGGGTTGGAATCTTGGATCTGCCATTTTATAGCTTTTGTGACCTTGAGCAGGTCCGCTTCTATGAGCTAACCATGGGATTATGGAATGGGATTTTTTTTTAGTACTTTTGTGAGGATTCGTTGTGTTACTCTGTGTGCATGAAAAGCTTACATTTACTCAGGGACTTTTTACTATTGGAAACAAAAAATAGTGTAGGCCTCTATCTCACTTGTGGAGAAAGAAAAAAATGCTCTGCATTTCTGATTGATTCCATATAAATACATAAAAAATGTTCATGGTCATTTATGCATAGACTTTCTTTTCTCATGTCCAGACATTTGGCCTCAAATGAAAACAGTGAAATATAATTTAAAATTCTTTTTGTGTACTACAAGGTGTGATTAGAGAACAAACTACACAAAAACATGGGTATCTGATAAAACTGGCCGTCAGTTCTGGGAGAGTCCTGTTTTCTGCAACACTGGAGTAAAGAGACGTGGCTTTTTAAGAAGCTGGAAGGGAGTGAAAATGTAACAAATAAAAGAGACGGGCCACACGGTCCCTCAAGCATCCTAAATATTTCAGACCCATTCCAAGTACACAAGTTGTTATTACGCAAAGTGATGTAACTCCTGTTAACTTTGGAGACGGTATATTCACCTGATACAAGAAATGATAGATGCTATGCTTGGTTTGTGAGGTATGTTGTAAAATTATGTTGCTGGAGCCCTTTTTTCTTCATTGTCAGCACAAATCCTTGTTTATTAAAGATTTAGCTTGAAGGAAATTTTAATTAATTACAGGTGCAGTAAATCCTGCCTGGGAAGCTGCCACGCGGTGTTTGCCGTGAATGGCCTTCATGTGCCTGTGCTCCCCCCCGCCCCCCCTGCCTGACAGTGTGATTTATGGCTCTTGTTTCCACCCGGCCACTGTCTGCCCTCCAGGAGCGATTGGTCTCCTGAGCCTCCGCAGTAACAGCGGCACTCGCGCGGACATCTCTTAATGACAGCGGCACTGCATTCAGTAAGTCAGGCTAATTGCAGATGTACCCTATTAATTGCAAAAACTAGGAGAGAGGTTACATATTTTACAAGCTTTTAATTTGAAACCGCCCGAGATAATTTGTCTTAAGTATTTGGATAGAGACGTCCATAATATTCAACAATTCACCATTATTGAAACTCCAGTCCAAGCAGTCACAGAGTTCTGTGATGGAATCGGGTGAAAGCGGATAGTCAGAGGGTCTTTGCCAGTATCTGTTGAGTATGCGGAGGTCATCTTTTCAGTGGGGTCATTTCCAAATTTTTCTTATTCTTTTTATATAAGTGTCTTCTTAATTCTTATTCATCATTATACATCTTTAGCTAACATTACAGAATTTAGAAAATAAACTTTAATCCTTAAACACAAAAGCAGTCAGCCTTGGTTCCAGGGGTCTATATTTGAGAGGCCTGGAGGCTCCTTGGTGTCACGTGGTGACGTGATGTCCAGAACTGAGTTCCGGGTGGCAGTCCTTGGGGTCAGTGGCACGAGCGTGGGGGTTCTGACCCGGCGGTCAGGAACTGAGAGTCTACATTGCAGGGTTTGGCAGTGACCCCGTGGAGATGTTATAATGAGAGAGGTCATTAACTTCTGCTGTATTTAGACCCCAGTTACAGTTGTTTTCACCTGCCTTTTCTCTCTGTGCACACAAGACTTTGTGCCTGGAGTACAGTGGGGCCTGGAACATTCCAGTTTCCGTTTGCTATTGTCTGTCTCGTGCCCGACCTGCGTGACTTCCAGCAGCCAGACTCTCCATGGAAAATTTACCTTTGGAGGAAGTGCTGAAGTCACCACTGCTCCGAGAAGCTCTGGGACGGGAGGGGCGGTGCTCGAAGTAGAGCAGTACCTCTGGACAGCAGGCTGCCCCCCGACGCAGCGCGGGCCCTGGGGGGGACTGCACCCATCTGAGGCAGGGAGCAGGGCGTGGTTGGTTCCGTAGCCTTCGGTGTGGTGCTGTGCAGGCACTGAACACTGACCAGGAGGATGGCAAAACAGCAGCGTCGTGTTCACGCTCTCACCTGTCGAACCTGTGACAGACACCGGTGTCAGTCCCCTGCAGCAGTGCCAGGCTCGGCGCTGGCGTGTGACGGCACATGAGCACGCGTCCTGCACAGCACTGTGGTTGTGCTGCGTGAGCTGTTGTAGCGGGGACCTGACGTTCACATGCGTCCAGTCCTGTAAGTCTTGCCAGTTTTCATTTATAAAGCAATGGATCTTTAATGTGTTAGGTCTGTCAGTTTTGAAAACAGCATTTTGCTAGCTTTATAATGATTTGGAATGTGTTCTATCTTCTTTATATTTTAGAACAGTTTAAATAACAGAATCAATTCCTAGTCCACCCGCGAAACCCTTTGGGTGTGGCAGGCTTAGGTACGAGGAGCATGAATCTTTTCCAAGTTCTTCGGTACTGGTCCGGTTGGGCTGTCTCGCTTTTCTTGGGTCCGTTTCGTGGTTTATTTTTTCGCAGTGGCCTTCTGCCAGATGCGCGGGTTTCTGCGTCGGGCTGCACGGGGCCTTGTGCCCCTGCAGCCGGGTGACTCCTCGCAGTTCTCAGGCTGTGCCTCGCGTGGTGGCTGAGCTGACGTCACAGGTGTGTCTGACCTTTTCAAAGAATTGTTCTGTTGTTCGCTTTATCATTTCTGCCAGGTTTTTTTCTTTAAAATTTACTAATTTTGTTTTTATCTTGTTAAGCCTCATTTTCCTGTTTTGGCAGATGACCCGACCGAGGGTGATTGCAGCCTGTCCGCGGAGGGGGCAGGACAGCTCCGGGCTGCAGCGCCCTGCGCAGCTCGTCAGGGAGCGTGGTCCTCAGAGCCTCGTGTTTTCTAAGCTTGTTCTCTCCAGTTCTCTCTTCTGATCTGTCACACTCGGAGAGGCCGTGGGTGTGCCCTCTGTCATTGTAGCGCCGGGGGCTTTGCTCTTGTGTCTTGCAGTGCGATTTTGGTAGGGAAAGGTTGGCGGCCCTTCTCTATGTTGTCTTCTTTAAATATAAAATCCCTCGTTTTTTTGTTCGTTTCTTTTTGTCTGATATTTTATTTCTTACCCTGTCCTGGTTTGGTGTGCATTTCCTTGGCGAGTCTTTGCTGATCCCCGTCGTCCCAGCGTTCAGAGCCGGCCAGTGGGTCTCACGCGGCCAGGAGGTGGCTGCTCGCCCCATGGACGGCTCGCGCCCGCCGTCACGTGCGACCCCTGCGTGCTCCGGTCTTTCTTCCCCCACGTGGTTTGCTAGCTCTGTGATCTGATTCTTTTTTCATATTTACGCCAGAGAGCAACTGTGAATAAGAAGTGGACATAAATGGTTTACAAGTGTGTTTCTGCCTATTTTTCTTTTGTGGTTAAGAATGAAACTGTTACCTGTGCCCTGTTCCACCCTTGGACGGGGTGAGATTTTTAGTACACTTTTATTTTCCCTGGTTCTCACTCTGGGTTTTGTTAAACTAAACTGGAACTATAATGACACTTGAAAATATATCCCTTTTTATATTTTAGATCCTTTTTTAACAGTTTCATTAGTATTTAAAAGTGTTTTAAATATATTCTTAATTGTTTTAATAATTCAGTTTAAGAACTAGATACATGTAATTTTTTCCTTGAATTATTTTTCTCTATAGTAAAGTGAGAGGCGGTGCGCATAGTACCGAGTCAGTGCCAGCTTTAGAGTGGCCTCCTTTCTGCACTCAGACCCTGCTCTACCTTGTCAGCTTTGTGGCCCGACACAGTGTTTGTGTCTGAGCCCCAGTCTCCTCATCCCCGTCCCTCCGAGTCGCCTTGAGCACCGCCTTGAGCACCCTCGTCCGGGAGGCCTGCTGGCCGCTGCACGTGTGCTCTCAGCGGCTGGGCCCTGCGCGGGCCGCGTGTCGCCGGCTGTCGAGCCCATCTCTCGCTGCCTTGTGTTCTGTCCTCGCCGTCAGAGGTGCAGTCTGTCTGTCCTCTCGAATATGGCTGTCCTTCGATCGACGCGGAGTCCAGGTCACTGCCTTGTGTTCTGTCCTCGCCGTCAGAGGTGCAGTCTGTCTGTCCTCTCGAGTATGGCTGTCCTTCGATCGACGCGGAGTCCAGGTCACTGCCTTGTGTTCTGTCCTCGCCGTCAGAGGTGCAGTCTGTCTGTCCTCTCGAGTATGGCTGTCCTTCGATCGACGCGGAGTCCAGGTCACTGCCTTGTGTTCTGTCCTCGCCGTCAGAGGTGCAGTCTGTCTGTCCTCTCGAGCATGGCTGTCCTTCGGACCGACGCGGAGTCCAGGTCACTGCTTTGTGTTCTGTCCTCGCCGTCAGAGGTGCAGTCTGTCTGTCCTCTCGAGTATGGCTGTCCTTCGGACCGACGCGGAGTCCAGGTCACTGCTTTGTGTTCTGTCCTCGCCGTCAGAGGTGCAGTCTGTCTGTCCTCTCGAGCATGGCTGTCCTTCGATCGACGCGGAGTCCAGGTCACTGCTTTCCCCTGGCTTTACGGGGAATGTTCCTGTTTTCTGAGATTTTTAATGTTGCGTTAAAGATGTTCAACACAGGTAGAGTGTTTTCTCTGAAGGGAATCTTTTCTTGTTTTCACTAGAACAACAGTGTTTTCTGTTACTTTTCTTTATTTTGGAATTCAGACAGCTAGTAGGCACCGGCCTCGGTCTAGTCTCTTCAGCGTCCGCCTGGCACTCAGATGTTTGCTCGTAGACGCCAGTCTCCCCAGAATTTCCTCTACCATTTCTGAATTATTATTATTATTTTTTAGTCCTCACCTGAAGACCCTTTTCCATTGATTTTTCAGAGTAGGAAGGAGGGAGGGGGGAGAGAGAGAAACATCGGTGTGAGAGACAGACATTGACTGGCTGCCTCCTGCACGACCCCGACCAGGGCCGGGAACCAAACCGCAGCTGAGGTCCGAGCCCTTGACCCGAATCAGACCCGCGACCCTGTGGTCCGCAGGCGGGCGCTCTAACCATTGAGCCAAACTGGCCACGGATCTACCGTTGTTTTGTTTGTTTGTTTTTATTGTTGACAGTATTACAGATGCCCCCCAACCTCCCTCCCTTTTTCCCCCTCCTCCCAGCCCCTGCCCCCCCCCATGCCTTCACCATTTTATACGAATGATTACTTTTATATCCTTTCTACTCTGTCGTCCTGGAATTCATGTTATAAATTGTTTGAGCTCCTGGAGTTGTTTTTCTTGTCGCCTTGGCTTTTCTCTTATTTTCTTACTGTTATATTAAAATAAATCACTTGTCATCGACCTCGTTTTAAGTTTAATGGATTGACGCAAATGATGTTTCGGAAAAATAAAAGTTGAGTAAGTGTTTGTATGTTGTAACTTTTTGTGGTCTTCTTTTGCACCCCCCCCCCAATTGTGGATATATTCGTGTTTCTAGTTACAGGTAAATGAAACATGCAGGGACCTCCCATTGCGGATAATGTACAATTACAGTTGTATGTATTATGTTTGTATACATATTTATAATGTACTTTGGATCACATCATGATTGCCTGATTGTCGTTTTAAGAGTGATGTTTATTTAACTTATTTAAAACTAGCTTTTCCATTTTATCATAATTTTAGGAGAAACTAATTCGAGATATTGCTCATTGTCATGGAATTTTGATCACTTCTTACTCCTACATTCGACTGATGCAAGATGATATCAGCAGGCATGACTGGCACTATGTGATCTTGGATGAAGGTCACAAAATCCGAAATCCAAATGCTGCCATCACCCTTGCTTGCAAGCAGGTATGACCCCTTCACATGCGAGATTTCTAGATAGGTAATCGTATGTACTTGATGATAAGCACCCTGATTTTAGCAACACGCTTACTGAATCTTTCCTCGTGGCTTTGCATAAGGAATTTGAAATATATAGTTTGCCTTAATGCAGAAAGTTCTTTATTCTTGCTGTTAATCATGTCTCTTAAAATTCTAATTGTTCATATTACTTAATGTCTCTTATAGGGATCGGTTGTTAAAATGTAACCAAAGCTAACTCAAATCCATAGTATTCAGCTTGAACAATAAGAAAAAAATCTTCCCTTATGTAATTGGAGAATTAAAATTACATAAAATGTCTTTTATGTTTTGGAGAAGACCAAAATGATACGTAAATATGTTAAATAACAAGATTGAGTGGAAGTGTTTTGGGTAGGGTTGGTGATCATCTGTTAAAAGCTGAATGTAATAAGAAAATATTTTTTTTCCCAAAATAGTTCCGCACCCCTCACCGTGTCATCTTGTCTGGCTCGCCGATGCAAAATAACCTCCGAGAGCTGTGGTCGCTCTTCGACTTTGTCTTCCCCGGGAAGCTGGGCACGTTACCTGTGTTCATGGAGCAGTTCTCGGTCCCCATCACCATGGGGGGGTATTCCAACGCCTCCCCAGTGCAGGTGACACTTTAGTATTTCAGTGTGTTAATGTTATACTTCGTAGCCAAGTCATTCAGAAATAAGGGAAAGGGCCAAGCCTATAAATTGGTATCGGATAAAACTTACGAAATTATGTTTGCTTGATAGCTCCTATTTTTCCAGGTGAATTTTGAAAAATCTTGTAAAATACTCAAGAGCAGTCAGAAATTCTGAAACAAAAGTAAATCAGTATGGACAGCATATAATTTAGTGCAAATTGGGGTAGTGCGTCTCATAAAGTAGTATAAAGTCTCAGAAAAGGGGACAGCAGAGAGAGTGTCAGGGAAGACTTCATGAGAAGGGTGTCCCTTATCCTGATGCTGGGAACATGGGCGGAGAAGAACATGGACATTAGAGTAAGGCAGCAGCCACATGGGGCCGGGGACAGCGCAGACACACTGGACTGGACGGATTCTTGTGGGGCTGGGGCAGGCCCAGGACGGCCGTGGGTTCTGGCAGTGGGAGCAGAAAGGGGGCAGCAGCACTCCAGCAAGGAAGGGCCACCGAGTCGTCTGAGCGGGAGACTGCAGGAGGGCTGTTCTCAGGGTCGCTTGGCTGCAGGTGTGTGAAGGGGAGGCTGGCACGGCGGGCCCTGCAGGAGTCGCTGGGGGGTGGGGGGAGGGCGACCTGGACCTGGACGGCGGTCCTGAGGAATAAGGTGGAGAGCAGGCCCTGGTGGCAGTTTTTTAGGCAGAACAACTGAGAGGTGGAGGCTGGTCAGACAAAGACAGGGGGATAGGAGGAGGTGAGCTGCTGCCGCTGACCCCTGAGGCTGTGGGCCTGAGTGGCTGTGGCACGGGGTGGTCACAGGCAGGGTCATCGGAACGGGACTCCGACGTGAGGGCGGCTCCATCCCTGGTGAGAGCAGGGTCTCTGCACAGCCCTCGTGGGACCGGCGCCCTCAGGTCATGACAGCCACAAAGAAAGCCTTTCACCAAAGAGACATGCATATGTTTGAAATACTTAATTAGAAACAGAGTTTTAGACCTTTAAAGTTAGAGCACAGTCAACAACAATTTTATACCTTTTATGTTTTGAGATTGAATGATTTTTAACTTTTGTGAGGGCAGTCTTCTTCCACTGAATCCCTATTCTTCATTTATGGTGTTTTTTTGTGGGGTTTTTTTGGAAATAATTTCAAATTTAACAAAGTTGCAAGAATCATAGAACTATCTACTCTTCACTCAGATTGACGAGTTGTTAGCATTTTGCTGGAGTTTTGCTACATTCACTTGGACTTGCCTCCTCCCTCCCCCGCCTCTCTGCACACAGACGTGTGTGTTTCCGAGTCTTGAGAGCACGTTGCAGTGATGCCCGTTCCTCCAAGTCCCTCCAAGTCCCTCCGTGTGCTGAAGAACAAGGACGTTTCTGACAGCCACAGCACGGACATTAGACTTGGGAGGGAATTTAACGTTGATATAATTTGTTATCTAAAGTATAAAGTAAAGTATGTTTTTGCAGTTCTGGTAGTATCTATGTCTCTTTAGTCCCCTTTAATCTGGGACAGTTTCTCGGATTTTTCTTATGCCTTTTGATGACCTTGACACATGCTGTTGGTTTACCCTTGTTGGTGGTATTACTTGGTAGTGGTCTGATCACTTGGGTGAGGTGGTATTTGCCAGATTTCTAAAATCTGGAGTTACCCCTTCTCCTGTGGAATTAATAAGTCACTTGTGGGGAATTACTTGGAGACCATGTAATAGTGTCTGTTTCTTCCATGAAGTTCTTGTTTGAGCAGTTTGTGTGCTGACCTTTATTCCTTGTTAGATTCTAAGGGCGTTGGGAACAGAGGTGTTTTTATTTGCTCCTTTCTGGGTAGGTCCATGGCTGCCACGCAGATGCCTGCTGTGTCAGGCAGGCTGAAGCAGTGGGGATGGCTAGTAGCCAGCATCTTCCGTTGACTGATTTCCCCAGTGCATCGGGGTGCGCAGGGGAAGTGGTCCCCCCGATCACAGCACAGGCTGTGAGGGCTGTGACCATGTCAGAGCATGTGGGCGTCAGGAAAGACTTCCTGGGATGGCCTGACGCGCGAGGACCTCACAGGCTGGGGACGGTGAGGGGAAGAAAAGTAACTACCAAAATAGGGCTGTTTCTGGGGTTTCTATGTTAAACTCGTGTAGAAACATTCAGAGCTGAAAGGAACCTGAAGAGTCATCTAGTCGGATGGCTTATTTCATGCTCAAGGTTACTGAGACTCAGTATTTTGGTGGCTTGCCCAAGGTCACTTAGCTCTGGATGAAGCAGAGCTGGGGAGTGGCTGTCACTCTCCTTGTCAGAAGTAGGAAGGGAGCATGGGCATGCTCAGCTAGGTGTCCGCCTTCCCAGCACCGGGAGGGTTTCTGGTCTTTCCTGCTCCCCCAGCCCTGCTGTCTTCCTCGGGCGTAGTCGGGTCTGACAAACAGGCCCAGACCTTTTCCTTGTAAGCTCACCACAGTGGCCAGGAAGCAGGGGAGCCCTGCCGAGGGGTGGGCCAGAGAACAGAAGGAGTGGCCAGCCCGCTCACGAGCCCAGCCCCGGTGCCCTGCATCCCCCCTCGCTCACGCGGTCTTCTGGAGCAGAGGAATGTGAGCGGAGGCAACGGTGTGAGGACAGTTTAGCCGAACACACTGTCTGTGATGTTAGGAAGAATTTAAACAAGTGCTTGCTTCCTTGGTGGACTATAATGTGTTGTTAAATTCTGAATTTAATGATCTCTGCATGATAGCCCATAATATGTACCTGATCATCCTAAATGTAATTTTAATCAATGTCTGAATGATATTGAGCGTTTTTATTGTCTGCTATTCCAAGTAAAACCTATTATATGTGTACACACTCATATACACATAAGATAAATATACATACATGTATACATATTTGATGTGTTCTTAGGATCTTTAAAATGTTTTCTTTTTTTACCATGTTAATTTTTAACATGAATTTTTCTGTATTATGATCAACCTCTCATTCATTTTGCAGCTACTTTTCTTAAATTTAAACTTTGCAAATTTGTTTTCTTCCATTAAATAGTATTTTACTAGCTTGTTAAGCCTATTGAGATTTTTTTTAATATCAATAATGTATTGAATTCTTTGCTCGCCTTTAAATGAATTGTGGAGAGAGTGGTTTTCTGTGCTGTGGGCCTTGTTTTCTTGCATGCAGTTAACACCCCCTCACGTGGCCACGCTGTGTGACAGAGCATGTGCTCCAGTTGAGACTCAGTGACCCTTCATCTCTGGGGGCACGTGGCTTGTCTTGAACTCACTCTGCGAGGTCTCCGAGGGCGGTGACGGCGTGTCCGGCTGCCTCCGCTGCTGCAGCCCCCGCCCGGCTTTGGTCTTCAGCTTGAGAGTAGCTGTTCCTTGTAGCTTTGGGAGCACATGGGACTATAAACACAGGTTTGTTTGAAAGCAGTGTTTTCCCTAGAGGGTGGTTGAGAACCATATACATCTCTACTTTGGGGTTAACTATACAGTGGTAGTTAAAGCAAAGAATCGAAGAGAACTAGGGTACAGAGTATTGAAGAGGACGGAGGCCCAGCGTAAGAGAGGACGGCCCCAGCGCGTAGGGGGGGACGGGGCCCCCAGCGCGTAGGGGGGGACGGGCCCCCCAGCGCGTAGGGGGGGATGGCGGCCCCCAGCGCGTAGGGGGGGACGGGCCCCCCAGCGCGTAGGGGGGGATGGCGGCCCCCAGCGCGTAGGGGGGGACGGGCCCCCAGCGCGTAGGGGGGGACGGCGGCCCCCAGCGCGTAGGGGGGGACGGGCCCCCCAGCGCCATAGGGGGGGACGGGCCCGCCAGCGCCGTAGTGGGGGACGGGCCCGCCAGCGCCGTAGGGGGGGACGGCCCCCAGCGCGTAGGGGGGGGATGGGCCCGCCAGCGCCGTAGGGGAGGACGGGCCCCCCAGCGCCATAGGGGGGGACGGGCCCGCCAGCGCGTAGTGGGGGACGGGCCCCCCCAGCGCCATAGGGGGGGACGGGCCCGCCAGCGCCGTAGTGGGGGACGGGCCCGCCAGCGCCGTAGGGGGGGACGGCCCCCAGCGCGTAGGGGGGGGATGGGCCCGCCAGCGCCGTAGGGGAGGACTGAAGAGGACTAGGGGACAGAAGTACCAGCTGTGCTTTGTGTGTACATTTCGGTTAATAAGGTTTTTTGCCGATACTGGTATGAAATCTCCTACCTCCTGGAGCATATCAACTTATATTAATTTTTCCAACCCATTTTCCACCTAATTTTGTATAATCATTGGTCATTCTTTAGAAAATTATTTTTTTAATCATTGGAATCAGTTGGGGGGTAAGAACAAATGAATTTCTTAAACATACAGTAATTGTTTCTTTTTTTGTCTCACTGAAGGTTAAAACTGCTTATAAGTGTGCGTGTGTCTTACGAGATACCATAAATCCATACCTTCTTCGGAGAATGAAGTCAGATGTCAAAATGAGCCTTTCTTTACCGGATAAAAACGAACAGGTCTGTAAATCCAGGAGTCACCAAAACATGGCTAAAGCCCAGCTGCACCTGGCCATCCACTCTGCTTTTCATATGCTGAACCGCAAGGCCTGCAGGTGTGGTCGCAGGTGGGCGGGGCAGCTGGTGCGTGTCCGTGTGCACCCGGCTGTGACAGGTGGCGCGGGGCAGGCTGGTGCGTGTCCGTGTGCACCCGGCTGTGACAGGTGGCGCGGGGCAGGCTGGTGCGTGTCCGTGTGCACCCGGCTGTGACAGGTGCGGCGGGGCAGGCTGGTGCGTGTCCGTGTGCACCCGGCTGTGACAGGTGCGGCGGGGCAGGCTGGTGCGTGTCCGTGTGCACCCGGCTGTGACAGGTGGCGCGGGGCAGGCTGGTGCGTGTCCGTGTGCACCCGGCTGTGACAGGTGGGGCGGGGCAGGCTGGTGCGTGTCCGTGTGCACCCGGCTGTGACAGGTGCGGCGGGGCAGGCTGGTGCGTGTCCGTGTGCACCCGGCTGTGACAGGTGGCGCGGGGCAGGCTGGTGCGTGTCCGTGTGCACCCGGCTGTGACAGGTGGCGCGGGGCAGGCTGGTGCGTGTCCGTGTGCACCCGGCTGTGACAGGTGCGGCGGGGCAGGCTGGTGCGTGTCCGTGTGCACCCGGCTGTGACAGGTGGCGCGGGGCAGGCTGGTGCGTGTCCGTGTGCACCCGGCTGTGACAGGTGGGGCGGGGCAGGCTGGTGCGTGTCCGTGTGCATCCGGCTGTGACAGGTGCGGTGGCCATGGCGATGCCCTCAGCATGACACTTCCTCTAGTGCCCGGGCTTCGATCTCTTGTGAGCCCATGGATTCTCGCGGCTGGTCTTTCTAAACCGTATTTCCCTCAAGTCCCCAATTCATTCCTGCTACAAGTTGTGTGAGGTGCTGAGCACATGCCTGGGAGTTAGCAGTGGACGAAACAAACGCTGTTCTCACAGAACTCACACTCATTCCCGAGTGTGAGTCACAGATCGATACTTCCGATGGCAGGTGGGGACAAGGGTGGAGATCAGAACGAGTCTGGTACGTGGGTGAAGAGGGCAAGGATTTGGGGAAGCGGAGGCTTTTACAAGGGATGGTCAGAAAACACCTCTTGATAAACTGCCATTCGAGCAGTGGGTAAAGAAAGTGACGGAGGGAGTCACAGGGACTTGGAGGAAGGGTACCCTGCGCGGATGGGGGGTGTAGAAAGGACTTGGAGGAAGGGCACCCTGCGCGGATGGGGGGGCTGTAGAAAGGACTTGGAGGAAGGGCACCCTGCGCGGATGGGGGGGGTGTAGAAAGGACTTGGAGGAAGGGCACCCTGCGCGGACGCGGGGTGGGGGTTGTATGGAGGAAGGGCACCCTGCGCGGATGGGGGGGGTGTAGAAAGGACTTGGAGGAAGGGCACCGTGCGTGGATGGGGGGGGTGTAGAAAGGACTTGGAGGAAGGGCACCCTGCGCGGATGGGGGGTCGTGTAGAAAGGACTTGGAGGAAGGGCACCCTGCGCGGATGGGGGGTCGTGTAGAAAGGACTTGGAGGAAGGGCACCGTGCGTGGATGGGGGTCGTGTAGAAAGGACTTGGAGGAAGGGCACCCTGCGCGGATGGGGGGGGTGTAGAAAGGACTTGGAGGAAGGGCACCCTGCGCGGATGGGGGGTCGTGTAGAAAGGACTTGGAGGAAGGGCACCCTGCGCGGATGGGGGGTCGTGTAGAAAGGACTTGGAGGAAGGGCACCGTGCGCGGATGGGGGTTCGTGTAGAAAGGACTTGGAGGAAGGGCACCGTGTGCGGATGGGGGGTCGTGTAGAAAGGACTTGGAGGAAGGGCACCCTGCGTGGATGGGGGGTCGTGTAGAAAGGACTTGGAGGAAGGGCACCCTGCGTGGATGGGGGGTCGTGTAGAAAGGACTTGGAGGAAGGGCACCGTGCGCGGATGGGGGTTCGTGTAGAAAGGACTTGGAGGAAGGGCACCGTGCGCGGATGGGGGGTCGTGTAGAAAGGACTTGGAGGAAGGGCACCGTGCGCGGATGGGGGGTCGTGTAGAAAGGACTTGGAGGAAGGGCACCGTGCGCGGATGGGGGTTCGTGTAGAAAGGACTTGGAGGAAGGGCACCCTGCGCGGATGGGGGTTCGTGTAGAAAGGACTTGGAGGAAGGGCACCGTGCGCGGATGGGGGGTCGTGTAGAAAGGACTTGGAGGAAGGGCACCCTGCGCGGATGGGGGGTCGTGTAGAAAGGACTTGGAGGAAGGGCACCCTGCGCGGATGGGGGGGGTGTAGAAAGGACTTGGAGGAAGGGCACCCTGCGCGGATGGGGGGTCGTGTAGAAAGGACTTGGAGGAAGGGCACCCTGCGCGGATGGGGGGTCGTGTAGAAAGGACTTGGAGGAAGGGCACCGTGCGTGGATGGGGGTTCGTGTAGAAAGGACTTGGAGGAAGGGCACCGTGCGCGGATGGGGGGTCGTGTAGAAAGGACTTGGAGGAAGGGCACCCTGCGTGGATGGGGGGTCGTGTAGAAAGGACTTGGAGGAAGGGCACCGTGCGTGGATGGGGGTTCGTGTAGAAAGGACTTGGAGGAAGGGCACCGTGCGTGGATGGGGGTTCGTGTAGAAAGGACTTGGAGGAAGGGCACTGTGTGCGGATGGGGGGTCGTGTAGAAAGGACTTGGAGGAAGGGCACCCTGCGCGGATGGGGGGGGCGTGTAGAAAGGACTTGGAGGAAGGGCACCCTGCGCGGATGGGGGGGGCGTGTAGAAAGGACTTGGAGGAAGGGCACCCTGCGCGGATGGGGGGGGTGTAGAAAGGACTTGGAGGAAGGGCACCGTGCGCGGATGGGGGGTCGTGTAGAAAGGACTTGGAGGAAGGGCACCCTGCGCGGATGGGGGTTCGTGTAGAAAGGACTTGGAGGAAGGGCACCGTGCGTGGATGGGGGGTCGTGTAGAAAGGACTTGGAGGAAGGGCACCGTGTGCGGATGGGGGGTCGTGTAGAAAGGACTTGGAGGAAGGGCACCCTGCGCGGATGGGGGGGGCGTGTAGAAAGGACTTGGAGGAAGGGCACCCTGCGCGGATGGGGGTTCGTGTAGAAAGGACTTGGAGGAAGGGCACCGTGCGTGGATGGGGGTTCGTGTAGAAAGGACTTGGAGGAAGGGCACCGTGTGCGGATGGGGGGTCGTGTAGAAAGGACTTGGAGGAAGGGCACCCGTGCGCGGATGGGGGGGTCGTGTAGAAAGGACTTGGAGGAAGGGCACCCGTGCGCCGATGGGGGGGTCGTGTAGAAAGGACTTGGAGGAAGGGCACCCTGCGCGGATGGGGGGGGCGTGTAGAAAGGACTTGGAGGAAGGGCACCCTGCGCGGATGGGGGGGGCGTGTAGAAAGGACTTGGAGGAAGGGCACCGTGCGCGGATGGGGGGTCGTGTAGAAAGGACTTGGAGGAAGGGCACCGTGCGCGGATGGGGGGGTCGTGTAGAAAGGACTTGGAGGAAGGGCACCGTGCGCGGATGGGGGGTCGTGTAGAAAGGACTTGGAGGAAGGGCACCGTGCGCGGATGGGGGGTCGTGTAGAAAGGACTTGGAGGAAGGGCACCGTGTGCGGATGGGGGGTCGTGTAGAAAGGACTTGGAGGAAGGGCACCCTGCGCGGATGGGGGTTCGTGTAGAAAGGACTTGGAGGAAGGGCACCGTGCGTGGATGGGGGTTCGTGTAGAAAGGACTTGGAGGAAGGGCACCGTGCGCGGATGGGGGGTCGTGTAGAAAGGACTTGGAGGAAGGGTACAGTGCGCGGATGGGGGGGTCGTGTAGAAGGACTTGGAGGAAGGGCACCGTGCGCGGATGGGGGGTCGTGTATAGAAGGACTTGGAGGAAGGGCACCGTGCGCGGATGGGGGGTCGTGTAGAAAGGACTTGGAGGAAGGGCACCGTGCGCGGATGGGGGGTCGTGTAGAAAGGACTTGGAGGAAGGGCACCCTGCGCGGATGCAGGGGGGTTGTGTAGAAAGGCCAGAGGTGGATCAGGGGAAGGAATCAGGAGGCCCTGGGACCATTGTGTTTGGGGGACTAGGAGGCGGTTAGTGACCTCACCCATCCCCGTTTAGGTGGAACCAGCGGGAGCCCCCGCACGCTGGGTTCCTGAGCCAGGAGAAAGCAAGGACGTGGAGGTGGCGGTCGCATGTGATGCGGTGCGGGAGCGTCCCCTCAGGTTTCAGAGAGTCTGGGTGCAGCTCTGTCCTGAGGATGATGAGAGGGTTTCAGACCCGATAGAAAGGTGAAAGGTTGCTCTGGACCCCACAGGAGCCTCTTCCTGGGAGAATTAAGGAAAATAAGCTGAGGCAGCTACAGAAGATAATTTCAGGAGTGAAAATGAGAGACTCACGCCTGATAGCTTCTCCACCTTCAAGCTGTGAGGTGGCGGAGGTGGGCTGGAGGGAAGGGGAGAAGAGCAGAGAGGCAGAGAACGTGGAGGGTGGAGTCATTGCCCCAGTGGGTGGGGAGGGGCCCTGCCAGGGGCAGGCAGGGACGTGGGCCTCTCCCGGAGGTGGGCCTGTCCCAGAGGCTGGCAGGGACGTGGGCCTGCCCGGAGGCTGGCGGGGATGTGGGCCTGTCCCAGAGGCTGGCGGGGACGTGGGCCTGTCCCGGAGGTGGGCCTGCCCGGAGGCTGGCGGGGATGTGGGCCTGTCCCGGAGGCTGGCAGGGACGTGGGCCTGCCCGGAGGCTGGCGGGGACGTGGGCCTGTCCCAGAGGCTGGCGGGGACGTGGGCCTGTCCCGGAGGCTGGCGGGGACGTGGGCCTCTCCCGGAGGTGGGCCTGTCCCCAAGCCTAGGGGCATTGCAGAGCAGCGAAGGCCCTGTGTCAGTTGGCTGGAGCGCAGTGTGACCCAGGACGGGGTGGTGAGCCCCGGCCAGCACTTGGTGGCTAGGCTGGAAGACTGTCTGCTCCTGGTCCTGAACTTTCCTGTGAGCAGAAGCCAGTCTCCAGGGACTTTCAGAACAGTAGGGTGGGGACCAAGAGGTGGACAGACGACAGGAACGGGGGCTCTCGAGAGGAGGCAGCTACACTTGTGTAGCTCTGAGATTGGCTTCAATTTGTTTCTTGAACAGGTCACATTGTTAAAATGGTGTACGTTGTGCTGTTATGATTAGGAAGTGTCATTGATATTTTAATTATTTTATACTGTTAAAATGATTTTTGAAATTATAGTTTCTCTGTTTTTTGTTTCTTTCCTCCCCCATAGGTCTTATTTTGCCGTCTTACAGATGAGCAACATAAAGTCTACCAAACTTTCATTGATTCCAAAGAAGTTTACAGAATTCTCAATGGAGAGCTGCAGGTCAGTGAAATGGCAGGAGCCACAGAGTGTAGGGAAGTGGGGAAGGAGAGGAACAGTGGTCCGTACGGCTCAGCAGTCAGAGCCTTGGCCTGCTTACCCAAGGGTTGTGGGTTTAATTCCTGGTCAAGGGCATGTACCTGGGTTGCAGGTTCGAGCCCCGGCCCTGGCTGGGCTCCTGGGACAGGGTCTGTGATGACAGGTCCTTCGGGACTACTGACCCCACGCAGAACGCAGCGAAGCCACCTCGGCCTGCTGGGGGCGGGCAGGCATGTGGAGGGAGAATCATCGTTACAACATTTTCTGTAACATTTTAGTTATTGCCAGTACTGAGCGATCCGTAGGTAAATGTCTGTTCAGTAAGTGTACATAGGTTTATAATGAGCATTTAAGTCTCAAGCTTCATGTAAACTATTCAACATGTTTGTGTTTCAGGATCTTAGGTTGTGAATTGTGCTTTACTTACTTGACATGTAAGACTTTCTTAGTCCTTGGTCTGTCCTCATGGGAGGCACAGCTGAGTAGCATGGTGCACTACAAGGTGCAGGCTCTCCCGCTGACCCAGGGAGAGACGCAGACAGGACGCAGGTGACGGGCCACCTGTGCTGCGCCGCGTCTGCCTGCTCCCCGTCGGGGTGACGCAGACAGGACGCAGGTGACGGGCCACCTGTGCTGCGCCGCGTCTGCCTGCTCCCCGTCGGGGTGACGCAGACAGGACGCAGGTGACGGGCCACCTGTGCTGCGCCGCGTCTGCCTGCTCCCTGTCGGGGTGACGCAGACAGGACGCAGGTGACGGGCCACCTGTGCTGCGCCGCGTCTGCCTGCTCCCCGTCAGGGTGACGCAGACAGGACGCAGGTGACGGGCCACCTGTGCTGCGCCGCATCTGCCTGCTCCCTGTCAGGCCTTTGCAGTTCTTTAACCATCTCTTATGGTTTCTTGTTTTGTCTTCTGTTGGAGGTTTGAATTATTCGCATTTATTCTTCTCTCCTGAACCTTCTCTTCTCTTCATGGGCCTCCCAGTGGTGAAGCTTCAGCCGGACGAGACCACTGTCCCAGAGGCTGGCAGGGACGTGGGCCTGCCCGGAGGCTGGCGGGGATGTGGGCCTGTTCAATTTGTTTCTTGAACAGGTCACATTGTTAAAATGGTGTACGTTGTGCTGTTATGATTAGGAAGTGTCACAGGGCACAGCCACGCGTCATTTACATTTTCTAGTTGTCACATTAAAAACGATAAACATGGTGAAATCCATTTTTATAATAGATTTTATTTAGCCTGATACATCCTAAATGCTTTAATATGTAATCAATAATTATTGAGATATTTTACTCTTTTTTTGTAGTAAGTCTTCAAAATTGGGTACAGTTGACCCTTAATGGGTTGAAGTGCCAGCACCTCACTCCCACAATAAAAAAATCTGTTTTTAACTTTTGACACCTCAAAAACTTAACTATAGTTGTCTTTTGGTATCTGAGGGACCTTGGTTCTAGGACCCCTGCAGGTATAAAACCCACGATGCTCAAGCCCTTAGATAAAACGGCAGAACGATGCTCAGTCGGCCCTGTGCCTGCGGGATTCCCAGCCTCAGACGAAACGCCGTGGAGTCCCTGGATGCCGAGCCTGAGGATACGTGGGGCTGACTGTGTTACTGGAAACGTTCGCATATAAGAAGGCCCTCCCAGCAGACTGCTGTGGGAGGGTCTGCCGTGTTTTCCACTCATGGCTCATCTCGCTTTGGACTGGCCACACCTCGTGCTTAGCGGCCTGTGGGCCTCGTGACCGCTGTGTGGACAGCACAGGTCTGGGGAGGAAAGATGGGTCACAGCTGCCTCTGGGGAGTGTTGACAGCTCCTGATTTATTCAGATCTTTTACAGTGTCTCCGCCTAACTGTTGTTTACTGGTCACAGCTATCTTAATTGTTGGTAACTGGCTTAATTTATGATGTGTCCTTTTTCTGCTGAGCGTGTGTACTGGTGGGCTTGATGTGTCGGGCTCTGGGAGCTGTGGCGAGCCCTCCTGCTGGGCATGGCAGGCAGGACTGTCCCGCAGGCTTCTCCACTTGTGTTTTCCATGTACATGTCTTTCTGATAAAATACTAATGTAAAGGTAAGTTGAACTTCAACCTCTAACTCATGTTAAATTACAGAGCTTTTAGTGAGGTACTTAGGAGTACCTTTAAATGCCTTTGCTAAGTCACATAACTGATTTCTGCAAGTTTGGATGGGCATGCCGTTTTTATTTATATTTAAAAGATGAGTCAGTTTTATATATCACATTTTCTAACACTGTGAGCTGCATGCATACCTATTTTTCTAGTGAGGGGAAAGTAAATTATCAGTCATTGAATATGACCCCTGTAGACAGTTGGGTCCAGTAGAATTTTCTGTTTGTGGAGAACTTGCCCCATCAGGAAAAGAGGATGACAGAGGCGGATGATTTCCTCCAGCTGCCAGTACGCTGTGATTGGGGAGGAAGCTGAGAAGCTGCTGGAGAATTTCTTCTTCATCTGCTGCATGCAGACAGCCTCCTCCCCTTCACTCCTGAGTGTACAGGAGTCGACATGAAGTAATTTTAGTGCACATAATTCTTTTATACCGTAGATTTTCTCTGGACTCACAACCCTAAGAAAAATCTGCAACCACCCTGATCTCTTTTCTGGAGGCCCCAGGACCCCCACAGGCAGCTCTGACCACGGAGCGGAGGAAGGCCAGTTTGGATTCTGGAGGCGATCCGGGAAGATGATCGTGGTGGAGGCCCTGCTGAGGCTCTGGCAGCGGCAGGGCCAGCGGGTGCTGCTGTTCTCCCAGTCGAGGCAGGTGAGGCGCGGCGCGTGCCGGGCGCAGGTCGGTCCTTACGCTTGAGACCATCCATTCAGAGTGTGGGGCGTGGTCTGAAGGGGTGATTCCAACGGCAGATGCACCTGCCGGCTCTCTGTGGGAGCTCGGATCTTTCTCCAGGCAGGGCGCCCAGAAGTGGGCTTTTTAAAAAGGTTCGTTTGCCCTGTGAGTCTGGGATGTGGGCAAGTTTGGGCCTGGACTCAAATAAATGCCCAGCTGTTTACAAGCTTGTAAGAAGTATCAGCAAGGAATACTGCAAATACTCTTGTGGCAATTATATGTATCTACCTCAAAGCAAGAAACCCTTTTAGTTTGACTGTTGGGAAGGTGAGACTGTTCACACAAGTGTTAAGCGCTCATGGGAGCTGTACTTGATTTGCAAACTCACCCCCCAAACAGATGTTGGACATACTCGAAGTGTTCCTCAGAGCCCAGAAGTATACCTATCTCAAAATGGACGGTACCACCACAATAGCTTCCAGACAGCCACTGATTGCAAGATACAACGAGGTAACAGGTGCCCAGCGGTGGAGCGAGACGGTGCTGCTGTCTGCGGGGCAGGAGCTCCCGCGCCCCGCGCAGTGCTTGTCTGGGTGGGGCAGTGGGGAGGGCTTTCTGCTTGTTAACTCGATGCGTTTCTGAATCACTGATGTGTGTGTGTGTTTAAAATTATTACTGTGTGTATATTTTTTCTTGAAAGCCCAACTTTACAGGTATTACTGATGCTCATATTGAGAGTGGGAACTGTGAGGCGGCACCCTGACTGACCGGAGTCGGGACATAGCCCACTCCTTGGGTCGGGGGTCTCCATGTGTAGAATGTGGAAGGGCAGAGGTGAGGACTTCCGTCTGGTCTTAAACGTGCAGCTCAGTGTTGTCTGTCTGACCTCTAGGATACGTCCATATTCGTGTTTCTTCTGACCACTCGGGTGGGCGGCCTCGGAGTCAACCTGACGGGGGCAAACAGAGTCATCATTTATGACCCCGACTGGAACCCAAGCACAGACACACAGGTCTGTCTACTTTTGAAAAGGCGGATGTTGGTGACACAGTTGATCCTTGAACAACACCAGTTTGAACTGCACGGTCCACTTATGTGTGAAATACACTGAATGTAGTTCGTCATCTTGATGATTTTCTCAGTGACATTTTCTTTTCTTGAGCTTACTTTGTGGTGAGAATAGAGTATATAATACATACAACGTAAGATGTGTTTCCTGACTGTTCATGCTGTGGGAAGCTTCCAGTCGATGTAGTAGTCAGGTTTGGCAGAATGCAGGTTTTCCGCGGATTCCGACTGCGGGGTCGGTGCGCTGTCCAAGGTCGGCTGCACTGAAAGGCTAGCGTTTGGAAGTGTCCTCAGAGCTCGTGTCAGCTCAGCCTCATCCTGCTGCTGCCTCGGCCTCAGAGTGACAGGGACATCCTGCCGCCCGTTCATGGTGCCCGTCACCGGGTCTGGGTGGAGTGTGTGCCTGCAGACGCACAGTGGGCTTCCGCAGAGACCAGCCTCCTAGTCCCTTGCCTGGCTGTCTTCCTGAACAGGCCTCAGCTGCGCTCAGGGAGGGAAGGGGCTCAGCCCGCCGGGGCTCGGGCACCTCGCTGAGCTGTGCCCCTCTGCCGCAGGCCCGGGAACGCGCGTGGCGGATAGGCCAGACGAAGCAGGTGACGGTGTACAGGCTGCTGACGGCGGGCACCATCGAGGAGAAGATCTACCACCGGTCAGTGCGCCGGCTGCCCCTGCGCCTGCCCTGCGCCTGCCCTGCGCCTGCCGGCCGAGGACGCCGTGCCGGGGCAGCCGGGTTTCTAATAAAGCAGCGTTTCAAATAGTCTTTCCACCTTCAAGCAATAGTTCCTATAACTTGAGGGATAATGTGGTTTTCTAAAATTTTATTTTGTTTTTATATTTTTTCTTACTAAAGCCTATTTTAGTTTTTTAAAATGGCTTATTGTAAGTTTTTTAAAAATGTCTTTGAACATGGTCGTTTTTCCACCTTATTAAACTTTAAGGACTGCTTATGTTTAAACTTTATATTGTATTTGAGAGAACTGTTCGCGCCTACCATGTAGTGTGCCATCTTTTTTCGGAAGAATTGTAAGAAGTGACACAGTTGGAATGCTGACATGTTGGTGTTATCAGCATGTAGTATGGTCAGCGGGTGCTCTGTTGGCCTTGGCTCAGATGCCCCAGAGAGAGGTTGCCTGGGACCCCTGTTTCCTCCTCCATCTTTGTGAAGAGGAGGGATTTGGGCAGGGATGACTTCAGCAGCAGAATGGAGATACTGCTGACTTCTCCCCCCGCCGGAGACTGCCAAGCACATCCCCCCCAGGGGGAGGCCGCTCTCCCCACCAGGCTGGCCACTCGTGGGCTGGCTCCTGCTCTTCAGGGCCGAGTGGTGGGAGGGCTGGGGGCGAGCGGAGCCCCGAGAGGGAGAGCCTCCTCAGCCCGAGGAGGAAGCAGCTCGGGGGCCAGGCTGCAGCGGGGGTCTGGGCACGCGTCGCAGTGTGCGCGTCAGCTGGAGGGAGGCGCAGTGGGTAGAGGCTGGTGAGGCAGCTCCAGGTGAAACTCGGCAGAGCCCGGGCAAGCATTTCCTGAGCCCATCACAGGAAGGTCCTGGCAGGGCGGGGCAGGGGCCTCGTGCAGTGGTCAGGAGGCTGGCCCTTTGCAGCTTAGCCGGCCTGTGTCACCTGCATGCATGTAAAAAGGTGTTTCTAGAAATGTGGTGAATCTTGGAAGTTGCAGAAACCCACTGGATATGAATAATATTAATGTATTATTTTTATTTCTAACTTAAATTCTGTAAAACCTGATGTTCTATGTACTTCTTGTGTTGTAATGTTTAAGGCTAAAAGTTTTAGGGATTATTTAGACATCCGCACAGCGACAGTTATATCTCTTATATTGTTTTATAAGTAGACTTTTGAGGGAGAGCTAAATGTTCTGTCATACCAGTTAAATTCTCTTTTAGACAGATCTTCAAGCAGTTTCTGACCAACAGAGTGCTGAAGGACCCGAAGCAGCGGCGCTTTTTCAAGTCCAATGACCTGTACGAGCTGTTCACTCTGACCAGCCCCGACGTCTCCCAGGGCACCGAGACCAGCGCCATCTTCGCAGGTACCGCAGGTACCGCAGGCGCCGCTCAGCCGGAACACGTCCTGTAAGAACGAAATGTGACAGGGGTGCGTTTTTCCTTTCACAGGGACTGGCTCAGACGTTCAGACACCCAGACACCATTTGAAAAGAAGACCGCAGTCGGCCTCAGTCGCAGACCTGAGCGTTGCCGCGGGCAGACCGGTCCCTGATGCCAGTGCAGCTGCAGATGCTGCCCCGGCCTGTGAGGCGCCGGCCGGTGCGGGAGCCGCCGCAGGTGCGGTGACTTCTGCTCAAGGAGATGCCCCGCGAGCCGCCCCCCAGACACCCGGTCCCCCAGCTCGCAGTGGTCGGCTTGCAGAGGAGACGGGGGCAGTGTCCCGGCTGGAGGGCCCCTCCGTGTCGAGGGCGCCCGGGGAGTGTGCAGCCCCTCCGGGACCCAGCCCGACGCCCGGCGAGCAAAGCTTCGACGCGGAGCAAGGTCTTCCTGGGCGAAGAGAAAGCTGCCAGGTCCAGACAGAGCCTCTTGGGGAGAACGGACACATGGGAAATACTTTTTACAAGCACAAGTCAAAAACAAAACACAGTGAGGCGGAAGAAGGGGCCCAGGAGAAGCGTCCGAAGCAGAAGCCGAAGAGCCCCAAGCGTCACAGAGACGCCAAGTTCGAAGGAACGCGAATTCCACACCTCGTGAAGAAAAGAAAGTACCAGAAGCAGGACAATGAAAACGAGAGTGAGAACAAGCAGCAGAGCAATGATGATTATGTTTTAGAAAAGCTTTTCAGAAAATCAGGTAACGTTGGCCGAGCTGCCGCGGTGTGCTGGGGACAGCACGAGGGCCGTTCCTGCAGCGGCCGCCTTGACTGCTGTGCTCGCCCTGGCGTGTTTCTCCTGAAATTAAATTGGGAAATGTATTGACAGTTTTGAAAATCACATTTACCTTTCTTTTTTGAAGACCTAGAAATTTGAAACTTGAGGAAACAATAGTACTTGACATAACCACTTACCGGGAGGGTGCAATGTTTAAATGGATTTGTGCTGTCTGAACATTAATAGATTTCTCTACATGCTATATTTATCTGACTCTCCAACCACAGGAGGTGAACAGCGGGAGAGGCAGGGGGTGTGGCCAGAGGCAGGCACTCTGGAAGCAGGACCGACCGCCGACATCAGAGAGCAGTTAGGAGGGCAGACCCAGCAGTTGTCAGGCCCCGGGGGACAGCAGCCGTGCACGGCTCAGTCATCCTGGGGTGTCGTCTTGTTCAGGCGGCAGTCGGGTGTACAGGGTGACGTGAACTTTGACCTCTGCAGATCGCGGTCCCGGTTCTCTGTTCAAGGAGGCAGGTTAGGTGGCATTTCAGAGAGAGACCGTTTGGGCTGAGGCTTCCCTGTAACTTGTTGTTTTCCTAGCGAGTTACCTCTTGTCTAGTCTTCAAGTTTGTTTGCGTAGAGACAGAAAATACTCTTGTAATGTTTCTTCTTAATTTGCTTCTGTTTCAAGATAATTTCCCCCTCGTCATTTCTAATTTTGTATAACCCCCCCACCCCCCGCCTTTTTTCTTGATCAGGTTAAGCTAGTGGTTTGTCTTCTATTTTGTAATTTTTTTTTTCAGTAAACCAAGATTTTGATTTATTAATTAGGTCCATGATTGTTCTCTACCTCATTCATTTTTGCTTTTATATTCATTATTTTCTTCCTTGTGTTTTGTTTTTGTTGTGTTTTGGTGAAATTTTTTTGGCTTAGTTTTTATAAAACTGATTTGGAAATTTAGTTCTTTTATTATTTTATTTTTACTGATATAAATATTTAAGGTGATACATTTTCCACTGATAACTTCATTAAATTCTTCTCATGTAGTATTTTTATGATCATTACATTTTAGAAATTCTATAATTCTGGTTTATATTTTTTCCTTCAATAAAGAATTTATTAATAGGTTTTCAAATTTTCCAGATAGGTGGGTAGAGGTTATGTTGAAGTTGTGATTAAAGCATTATGCTTCAATTATTGTGAAACAGGAATAGTAATACTCTCTACCTCATATGGTGTGATGAAGATAAATACCAATAGCATGTAAGTTTCTGGGTCTTGGTAAATAGCAGCGAAAAATAATCATTATTTTTCTCCACCCACAGTATGCTAGACTATATAGAAGAAAAACTGATTGTTTACAACCTGAAATAAAAAGTTTTCTGTTTCCTGTGTTCTTGCTAGTTGGCGTGCACAGTGTCATGAAACACGATGCCATCATGGATGGAGCCAGCCCAGACTATGTGCTGGTGGAGACAGAGGCCAACCGAGTGGCCCAGGACGCCCTGAAGGCTCTGAGGCTGTCTCGGCAGCGCTGTCTGGGAGCAGGGTCTGGTGTTCCCACCTGGACTGGCCACAGGGGGACTTGTGGAGCACCCGCGGGAATGAAGTAAGCAGTGGCTGCCGCCGTGCTGCGGGAAGGCCGTGCATCCAGGCTTGCAGTCGGGGCGGGCGGGCGTGGACACTTACCGTTACCTGCAGCAGGAGGAAATCTCTCGGGGAGGGACTGGGCCAGCCACCTGTGTGACTTGGGGAAACACATTCGTAATCTTACCTCTTCCTCGCTTTTGTCTGCTTTCCAACACCAGTTTTTCAGGTGAAAGAGAAATGATCTATTTTGTTAAAAAATACTAAGAGTAGTATCACTAAGAGCAGAATCACAATCAAACCTTAGTAAGATGCCGTTTTCACCAGTCAGTGGTTGCTGTGATCTTCGGTACACTCTTCTGTAAGGTTTTCATACCCTGTCGAGGGCAGTTTTCGTCGTGCGGCGAACAGGGACGAGTGGTTCTTCCTCCAGATGCAGCCGTTCCTCCTCCGGAGACCGAGGCCCAGCCGCCCTGGCTGCGAGGGGGCCCCGCAGAGGAAGCCTGCCCAGGAAGGCTGTCGAAAGATCCTTGTGTCTACGTCACAAGAACACGTGTTTTATTTACGCCGCGATTCTTTCCTTATTCAGGAGTAGATTCGGTCAGAAGCGGAGCTCCAGCTTCTCTGTGCAGCCTCGTGCTCCAGCGTCTCCGAAGAAGAAGTGCCAGGTACTCGGGTGCTGTCTGCTTGTGTGGGAGACCGACGGGACTGAGTGGCCTGCAGGTTTAACCCGATTCCAGTGTGAAGAGGTGCCCGGTGTGACGGCAGCCGATCTCGGTGCTGGGAACTCCGATTTACGAGGCACTTTCATTGGAATCTAAAATTCCAGCTAACTTCCTAAAGGAAACGTCTTTAACCCGGGTTCTGTAGCAGAATCTCTGTTTTGTCCTTAGAAAGTTAATAGGGGGATAGGAGGCATGTGAGTCACTGCCCATGCAGCCTGCCCATCTGGAGGTTCAGTGCCAGCTGCGGAGACCACTGCCCTCGGATAAAGGTCTAGACACCGCCTCAGATGCTGGCGATGTTCCAGCCCCAGCGCATTGCCTGTCGCTGCCTGTCCTGCAGCTGCCAGAGCTTCCCGAGAGGGACTGCGGGGCCAGGTCCCTCCGTCTCTCGGTCGTGTCTGATGAGGGTTATGTGACTGATAAAGTTTGAACACTCCCAGGTTCAGACTCCTATTTTAGATTAGTATGAGCACAGTTGGGAATAGAGAACCTTTGTTGTTTTTAAGGAAACACTTATGAGGTATAAAGTAGTAAAGAATAAAGTGATTGAAAAGTGAAGGAAAAGAAGTACAGCTCTGATATTGTTCCTTATCCCACAGTGCCAGCCTAGATCAGGGTACATTGGGAGGGAAGACAGGAAAAGCCCACAGAGCATGTGCCTTCTGGAGGTGGGCTCCTGGAGGCGGTGTTCTAGAGACAGTGTCCTAGAGGTGGGCTCCTGGAGGCGGTGTCCTGGAGGGAGTGTCCTAGAGGTGGGCTCCTGGAGGCGGTGTTCTAGAGACAGTGTCCTAGAGGTGGGCTCCTGGAGGCGGTGTTCTAGAGACAGTGTCCTAGAGGTGGGCTCCTGGAGGCGGTGTTCTAGAGACAATGTCCTGGAGGCGGTGTTCTAGAGACAATGTCCTGGAGGCAGTGTTCTAGAGACAGTGTCCTAGAGGTGGGCTCCTAGAGGTGGGCTCCTGGAGGCGGTGTCCTGGAGGCAGTGTTCTAGAGACAATGTCCTGGAGGCAGTGTTCTAGAGACAGTGTCCTGGAGGTGGGCTCCTGGAGGCAGTGTCCTGGAGGTGGGCTCCTGGAGGCAGTGTCCTGGAGGTGGGCTCCTGGAGGCGGTGTTCTAGAGACAATGTCCTAGAGGCAGGCTCCTGGAGGCGGTGTCCTGGAGGGAGTGTCCTAGAAGCTGCTCTGGAAGCCCATTCCCTAGCCACTGCTCTCCCTCCATCCTCATCAGAATGGCAACCAAGTGAAGAGTGTAGATTTTTTTTCTTTTTTAAGGAATGTTTTTTAATAGTGGGTGGATTTAGATGCTTTACTGTCCTTTACCTCTGTGGTAGGTGGTATTTTATTCTTCACCAGTGAACCTGACCACCTGGCCTGGGCAGGTGTCATTCTGTGGCCCCTCAGAGCCTTTGCAGGAATCAGTGGGACCGTAAGTGAGAAGTCCCCTGCGTCAACGAGCGCCCCTCTTTCTGCAGGACGGCCTCGTGAAAAGGGACGGACAAGAGAGCGTTTCTGAGCATTTTAGTGGGAAGATGGAAGATGGAGAGTCCTCGTCGGGGGCCCTCACTTCGTCCTCGCTGTTGGCTAAAATGAGAGCTAGGAACCACCTGATCTTGCCCGAGCGGCTGGAAAGTGAGAACGTGCACCTTCCCCAGGGGCCTGCCCCGCCGCCCGCCACGGAGCACGACGACCTCCTGGTGGAAATGAGGAACTTCATCGCCTTTCAGGCCCGCGTGGACGGCCAGGCCAGCACTCAGGAGATCCTGCAGGAGTTCGAGTCCAAGTTATCAGTCTCCCAGTCTTGTGTCTTCCGAGAACTCCTGAGGAACCTCTGTACTTTCCATAGAACTTCTGGTGGTGAAGGGATTTGGAAACTCAAGCCAGAATACTGCTGATAAATACTAACTTCTGAATTTCTAATTGACTTTTTTAATGGGAATTTCCAATTATTATGATTAATACTCATGTTTGTCAGCGGAGGTTGGGTGCGTTGGATGTCTACTTGGAACTAGAGCTACCTCAACTAAAACTTGAAGGAAGAAGACATTCTTTGAAACTTAGAAGTTTTATAGACGTGGGTCCTTCTCCTGGTGCCGTGAATTATGTACAGTCGGGGCCTGCATTCCTCGGACAGGTCCTTCCCTTCCACAGGCTGCCGTCGGTGCAGTGCTGCTCGGGGAGAGCCGGGCCGACTCGGCTGCTTTCTGTTGGGCTAAGACATGTCGCGCTTGTCAGACCCGTTCAGTGAACTGATTCACCAGTGTCTGTTAACAGCATTGTTTTTGGTGCTTACCTTTTTTAAAAGTTTAAATTTATCATTTGCCACCCAAAAAAAGATCAGATTTATCTTTTGAATCATTTGAATTTCCTTTGAACGGTCTTCTTTTAAGGTGCTGTGAAATTGGCAGGTGTTTTTGTTAGTAAAGCATGAAATAGCTGGTAATAAATAGGACATGTTTGTAGAAAGTTGGTGTCCTTAGTTTTATACTAACTTTGAGCAAAGTCCCTGGGGTGATTGTTGGTTTTGGGAAAAGGAAATGTGTTATCTTAACAAACAAAAACAAAAAACAAGCAGAACTAAATGTAAGTACAGATAATACAACCAACACATGCACAGGCCCGCACGACCAGGTCTGCCATCGTTGCCCGTGGTGACCGCCGTCCTAGCCCTCTGCCTCCGTGATGGGCGGGCGCTGGACCGTCTTCGTTCCAGCTGCACATCCGCTCTCCTAGTGGTGCCGCGGTTTGTCCTCCCGATGTGCTGCCCTCTGTCCTGCCGTCCGTCCTGCCGTCCCATCCCTTCCCTTGGCCTTCGGGACGACTCTCCTGTTTAAGAGGGCGGTTTTCAGCTGCCTGTTTCTGGCTTTTCCTTATGTGTTGGTAGTTCTTTGGTGGTGCTGTCTGACCCTTGGTTGGTGTTCTTAACCTTGTTTTTGTTTCCTTTTCATTGTTAGGTTAAGATCAGCTCTGAAGTGTTTTCTTAAATCCACGGTTAATTTGTTCTAGAGCTGTCACAGCAGCGTTTGCTTCCTGGGCCTGTGTTCTCTGAGTTGCTGTCGGCCCTCTCTCTCTTTTCCGAATTACACTTGCCTTCCTCTCAGTCCATCTGCTTACCTCTTACTCCTGCAGACAGCGAGCAGCCGGTCCGTATCTTGTGTAGGCGCCTTCCTGCCCCCTGAGGGTGTTTGGGCTTGGAGGTCAGGGAGGGCCTCTGCTGGGCTGTGTGCAGCTTTGACTGGAGAACTTGGGTTACTTTTCCATTCTCGGATTTTGTTCAGTTGCTCGGGCCAAGCCCAGCAGGTGGTTGAGCGTCGTCCCAGGGACTGGGAGGTCCCGGTTCAATTCCTGGTCAGGGCACATGCCTGGGTTGCAGGCTCGATCCCCAGCAGGGGTGTGCAGGAAGCAGCCGATCGATGTTTCTCTTCCTCTCTCTAAAAAATCAATAAAACATATTAAAAAATAAATAAAAACATTAAAAAAAAAAGCTCCGGCCAAGAGTCCCTCTCGTTTGGCAGATGTCATAGAATCATTGCCATAAGGATTTCCTGCTGATTTGGGGTGTGGGAAAGTTCTGGCTTGTTCATTTCTTTTTCTGCTTTTAGAGTGACTCATTATGTATTAGAGGAGAAAGATTCTATTATTTTCCTTATGTGCCATCATTATCTCGAAGTTATAGAAGGGATTTTTAAACAGGTCAGTCAATCCTAAACTTGAGTACTTGGCTCAGAAGGGAGTCCAACTCACAACTGTTTTGTTTCTGAGAAGTCTTTGTTGTTGTTGTTAATGCTCACCAGAGGATATTTTTTTTCGATTGATTTTTTTTTTTTTTTTAGAGTGGAAGAGAGGAGGGAAGGGGGGGGGGGACATTGATCTGAGAGAGACACATCAATTGGTTGCCTCCACACACACCCCAACCAGGGGCCAGGGATCGAACCTGCAACCCAGGTACTTGCCCTTGACCGGGAATCAAACCTGTGACCCTCTGATGCACAGGCTGATGCTCTAACCACTGAGCAGTGCTTGCAGGGCTCTCTTTATTTTTGTAATCATTAGCCTGTAAGGGGATTCGTGCCCCTGTTCTGAGGTTGAAGTCCTGATGAGTCAGTGAGTGGGAAGTCGTTTGGGCCTGAAACATTGTCTGAAATCTAACATGTGCTGAGCCACGGAAATAGAAAATGCCGTCAGAAGTTAGGACGCAGCAGGAGCACGGCGCCCTGCGCTGCAGTCGTCTCAGCCACTGGCGTGTGTGACCCGGACAGGTCACTCCCTGCCTGTGTCAGTGACGCCCTGTGCACATCGTCGTCATGTTTCCTGGGCTGAGAGACTTAGAGATGCTCTAAGTCACTTAGAGTAACTTTCTCATTAGATTAAAACCTAATTTTTGGAACTTTAAAAGCTTTATACAGTGTACATAGATTTAATGTGTTTAACGTGTCATTCCAGTTTTAAACTAAAAATCAAAGATTTTAAAATGTGAATTAAGCCCAGATGGTGGGGCTCAGTGGTTGAGCATCCACCCATGTACCAAGAGGTCGCCAGTTTGATTCCTAGTCAGGGCACATGCCCAGATTGTGGGCCCGATCCCCAGTGGGGGGCATGCAGGAGGCGGCCATTTGATATTCTCTCTCATTGATGTTTTTATCTCTCCCTCTCCCGCTCTCTCTAATAATCAATAAAAAATAAATTAAAAAAGAGCAGTGAATTAAAAAATTTTCTTAGTCTATAAATATATTAATACTGTTTTTAAAATTCCAGGCAGGGCCTGCCTCCCTACCACTCGCGTCTGTCCCCACCACACAGCTGCATGTGTTGTGTGTCCCTCCAGGCTGTTCGCACAGCATGTGGCCGGGTGCTGCTCCCGGTCCGCTTTGTCCTGCCGGTACCGATGAGGGCCCGAGTTTTATCTGGACCCCCGCTGCTCAGCTGAAGGCTCAGCCTCCTGCAGTGATGGTGGCCACAGGACCAGGCAGTGGACGGAGTAGCCCTTCCAGACCAGGCCCCTAACTGAGGACTTGGGTGGACGCCTCCTGTCGTTTCCTTGTCTTGGGGCTGAGGTGCCGGAGGGCTTCAGCAGTGACGGGGGATCGACAGGAGTCTCGTGTGGAGGCTGGGAAGTTCCTTTTACCTGCTCCTTAAGAGCAAAAGAGGGGGAGAGAGAAAGAGGAGAGAGATTGGTGCCCCCACATATTGGCTGGGAATCAATCCCAAGACCCTAGGTGGGCGGGCGACACTCCAGCCGTGGAGCCACACCAGGACCAGGGCCACAGCAGCTGGTTTTGTTTTATATGTGAGATGTACATAAATGGAATTTTATCATCCTTATTTTGCATTGAACTTTTTATTTAATATTATATGCAAGACATCTTTTCATTCCTATAATTACAGCTCTACCTTCATAGAATTGCTGGATTAAAAATCATGTATATTTTAACTATAATGGATGCAATAAAACTGTTTCCTTCAGTTCGGAGCACCCATACTCTGCACCCTGGCCAGTGGTACATAGTGTCTTGGAGGTTTTGGTTTATTTTTTAACCAGTCGGTGGGTTGAAAATAATCTTGCTGTAACTTGAATTTCCCTGATTAATTTAAAACCAGACATTTTATGGGTTTTTTTGTGTCATTGTAGATCCTCTGTTGTATGTTACCTGTTTGTGTCATATTTGCCTAGTTTTACTACTAGTTATTTATCTCTCAGGGTCCCCCCACCCCTCGTCGCCAAGCAGAAACGAAAAGGCAATTGTCCCAACTATTACTGACTAGTCCATTCTTTTCTTCACTTATTTGAAATGGCAAGTTTGTCGTATGGTAACTTGCCTGTTTCTGGACAGTGGCTCTAGGTGTCTCTTCTACCAACCACACTCTTCACTATCTGACTTCGTATGCATTTTGCTCTCTGTGGACAAGTTCCCTTTTCCCTTCTTCATTGTCTTGTTCTGGTACATATTCTGTTCTGGGGGAATTTTAGAATCAGTTTATTAAGTTCCACTGAAATTGTTGATAATAGACTTCTTTATAATTAATATAATTTTTCTTTAGTATCATAATAGACCTTTATTAATTGAAATATTTTATACACTTGGTTAAAATTTTAATAACTTTTTTTAGAAAGACCTTGTACATTTCATATTAAGCTTATTTCTAGGTATTTTATAGAATTTTAGTTTTGGGCAAGAATTTTTAAATTGTATATAAAATGAGGAATTGGAACATTCATGTATCTACTTTGTTTATGATGTAATTTATTATACAGAAATTTTTAATTTAAATACAGTAAAAGCCTTCCCATGTTTTGTTTTGTTTATTTAATAACATCTTTAATAACCTAAAGTCATTATTACATTCTGACAAATTCTCTTAAGTCCATAAGGATAGTTATTTTTCCTAGCACCTTAAAAAATTTTTATCCTTCCTCTCCTAATTCATAAGGCCACCTCTACATTATATTCAGTTTCCATGTAATTATAGGGGTGTGTCTAGGCTCTGTGTTCCATTAAATGCATCCACTTACCTAACTGCCGATAACCCACTGCTTTAATCATTGTAACTTATAGTTGGCTATCATATATGATGGAATGATTCACGTCATCTTCCAAAAATGCTGTAATTCTTGGACCTTTGTTTCATATAAATTTGGGGATCACCTTGTCATATTTGGATTTTGTTGTTTTTGAAATTATGATTGTACAGATTGCTTGGGAAAGAGTATAACATTGAGTTTCTCATCTATGAATAGGGTATCACTCCATTTGTAATACACATTGATTGTGAAGACATAATTCTGTTCACGCTTTTGCTTATATTTTATAAGGTTGTGTACATTGTACATTTGTTCCTAATCATCCTACAATTTTGATTGCTACAGTAAGTGACATTTTAAATTATTTCCTACTTTTACTGTTGATTTTTA